AAACACTTTTGTCCCCTTAGGGTGGAGAAAGGAAGAACCAAGCTACTTAATCTTATGGTGAATCTCATTTTCAGCCAATGGCATTTAGTGTTATTGGATTATTTCATTGTCAATCATAAAACTTCATGAATATTAAATTCTACTCCTGAAACCAATATTACACTATACGCTAACTAACCAGAATTTAAAGAAACAACTTGAAAAAAAACTTAACGAACAAAATTATTCTTAAGATATTTACCTAATTGAACTTTTCAGTAGACTATAGAAATAAGTCCATTTCTATATAGCTACATATAGAAATGTAACTTCCTGATGAAACTGCATTATTTCAACGTGACTTTTCACCTAAAACTTATAAGGCTTCTGACCCTCCAGTAGCTTGCTTTCGTTTGAGGCAGGCGGCATCCCACACTGTGTCACACAGAGATGGGAGCGTCAGGTAGTTGGTACAAATGGTCTGCAGCCTTTGTTCACCCTCTGTTGGCCCATCTTCCTTCCCTGACTTTTTATACTGGACCAAAGATAAAGGGACTTTGTACCCTCTGATGGCTTGGGGTGGGGACATCTATTTCTTTGAAAGTTGCCAAATGTGTTCTGTTGTAGTATCCAAAAGTGTTGCTATTTCTGTGATTATCTCTGGGAAATGCCTTGACTGAATTTTTGATCGACGTTTGTTTGACGGTCTCTTCTTGGGTTCTAACCCTGGCAAACTTGCCTCGTAGCTGTGTCGGTGACCCCACACCATTCCCGGTAGGGTGTATGTGTTTGCTGGGCAGTCTGAGAACTCCCCGCATCTCTGAGCCCACCCCTTACCATCACTGCTATCTGCAGAGTGCCATGTCATGGAGAATGAAACTCTTGTTTGACCAAGAAGGGGAAGAAAGCCCTCCTTTGGGCTGGGGCCGCAGACCTTGTGTCTTGACCTTCTCCCTGAGCTCTTGAGTCTTGGTGAGCAGTCATTGAACGCAAAGGACTGGAGAATCCTGACTTCTCCTAGTGTGGCAAATGGCCCAGGGAAGGGGAAAGTGCCTCTGGGGAACGGTCCATCTGTAACAGCCACTTTGCACCACTCACTCCTGGTTCCCTTCACAGTGAGGTTCTCTCTGCTCCATAGCTCAGTGCTCAAGAGGTGGGTCTGGGGCCACAACTTTTGGGACTGACTTACAGACAGTGCCAAATGCCTTTTGAGTCTGTAACCTGCCCATGCGTAGATGGCCCCTCTTCTCCAGGGTTCACACTTTGACCTTATCTCTCTGTGTGTAGAGCAGGATAGAAATGTGTGTACAGGGGTGTCTGCTGGTATGCGTGTGTCTACACACCAGCGTGAGTGTGCCTGTTGACATGGGCACCTCAGAATTCTGGCCTGTGCCCACAATTTCTACAGCTATAAAATGGTAGAGGAACTGCCCCCTACAATAAAAGCAGTCACCTTCCAAAAAGGTCACAGGCATCCTCCTATGATCGTTCGGAAAACACAAGATTTGAGTGTATCAGGGAAAAGCTGCTCTGACCTGGGGAGGACAGAGGACTTTGGAAGACATGCTCGTTGGCCTATTCAAAAAAGTCATATGTGACTCTAACGAGGGAAAGCAGCTTCATTTGGGGCCTTGAGCCCAATCAGATCTGCTTTTCCCCTGGGGAATGCCTGGTCCTCAGACTGTGCTCCCCAGCCTGCAGGAAGGAGTGAAGTGAGGTGGCCAGAGGGCAGCTGAGGGCAGGCCCCTCAGGAATGCATTGTTATTCATGTCTCTTTTCAGAGTCTTACAGTGGATCCTGTAGAAAGGCTGCTGAGCCCCATGCTGGGTGCTCTGAGAAACAACCGCAAGTGATGTTTCTGCTCTCCTAGAGGGCTGGTTTTCTCCAGGTCTCCCTCCTCAAGGCAACCCAGTGACGATTGTTCCAATGCTCCTGAATCTGAAGATGATTCAGTTCTTTTCTTTTTTAAAAATTTTTAATGCTTTTTGAGAGAGAGAGAGAGAGAGAGTGCGAACAAGAGAGAGGGAGACACAGAATCCGAAGCAGGCTCCAGGCTCAGAGCTGTCAGCACAGAGCCCAACGTGGGGCTCAAACTCACAAATCTTGAGATCATGACCTAGGCCGAAGTTGGACGCTTAACCGACTGAGCCACCCAGGTGCCCCCATGGATGATTCAGTTCTTAAGGTTTCTGGAAAAGTATCCATCCCAGCCCTTTATGAACCAGATCAGTCTATTTTACTGAAAGCCTTCTCCCCTTGGGAGAGAGAGTCCGGTGGATGACTTTGGAGGGAGGTCTGGCCATCGGTTTGGGGTGTCACATGGCCAGTGACCCACAATTTCCAGCTGCCCTGTGCTGCCAGGTGGGGAACGTGTTCTTTCTTCTGTGATGGGGCTGAGGTGGGGGGCAATGCAGGCCCAGCTGGGGAAGCAGCCTGGCCTCTCCTAGGAGATGCTATAATAGCACGCTTCTGTCTTTCCTCAGAACCTGCTTTCTCCTTGGCAGTGAGTGCAGCCCAACCTCTAGAGCGGCTTTGTTTCTGCAGTGTTAACTGATCTCAGGGGTGTCAGCGAGGTGCAGGGGAGGAAGGGACAGAGATACTGGGGCAGTGGCCAAGAGGACACCCACACCCTCCAGCGTGGCCTTTGACCCAGAGGTTAGGGACCATGCCTATCACTTGTGGGTACGGTTTGTGTATCTGAATAAATTCTGAAGTGCTGTGACCTTTTTTTTTTTTTGTCAATAAAGACATGAAACAAATAAAATAAGCAAAAGTAACAGGGCTTATCCGATGTACAAATTTCTTATTTTGTTTCAGAATAGTCCTGTATTACATGTTAAGGCAGGAATTCTATTTTCTCCCTGGCTTAAAATTCGTGAAACAGCACCAGGTACACAGAGCCAATATTGTTTTGTTGATTAGCTATGTGTTCTGTGATAAACATCTTTTGATGAAAATGAAACAGATTAGAAACTTAGTGTCTTAGAATCTCCTTGTGAATGACACAGAAACCAGGATGTGGTGTCACGCTTTGAAAGCAACTTTCCATTTGCCATATAGCTGTGATGAAGGCTAGATGTGTGAAGCCAAGTATTCCATGGAGCAGTGAAAAGAATGTTATCCAAGGAAAGCTTTCTAAAGTTAGGAAGATGGATATATGGGCCAATGTCTTTATCCTACACTGAAATTTTTATCTGTGGTCTGCATTATCATTTGAGTATATTTATATGGCAAATGATAAATTCTTTCCATTGTAATACTTTGGATAGTGACAGATGGTTACATTTATCATAGTGAGCATTTTATAGTATATATAATTGTCAAATCACTATGTCTTACACCTGAAAATATAATATTGTATATCAACTATACTTCATTAAAATAAAGAAAAATGATAAATTATCTTATAAACTAATGCATTTTTTAAGTTTCAGTTTTATTTTTGTAAAGTATACATTAATGCTGCAATTAAGTTAGTGAACCATAATTCAGATTCACTCACTCATTCATTCATATCTATTTTGTTGAATGTTGGCTCTCTGCAAGGTATGGAGTCAAGCTTTAGAAATACCATGATGAAAAAGAAAAACTAGTCCTTATTTTCATGGCATTTATGGCCTAGTGAAGGAGATAAAAAATAAAAAGTAAAAATGGTAAATTAATATTACTTGTGATAGGTTTTATGAGGGCTGTGATTTTTGCCTGTCTGTTCACATTTTAGAAACTGGTTAATTAGCCGGCATATAAAACAAAATTAATGAATGGATGGGTGGACGACTGAGTTCTTCAAAAAGTACTGAGAGTCATACTAGTTGGATAAAGGAGGTCTCTTTAAAAAAATGTTTAATGTTTATTTATTTTTGAGAGAGAGAGAGAGAGAGCACGAGTGGGGGGAGGGAGATCTACTTCTATAGAGTAGTCAGAGAACTGTGGGGGCAGGTGACAGTAAGCAAAATGTAATAGTGAACTCTGTGTGCCTTCAAGGAGGGAGGGCAAGTTGTGTAAGGACTGGGAGGGAGGAATCTCTGGGCTTTAGAATTTGAGTAGTTTGGAACATTCTACAGGAGTTAAACTAGGATGGTATGATATAATATGATATGATCCACATTGTGTTTTAAAATACTATAGTTTTGTTTCTTAAAAGTCACAAAGTTAAATATATATATATATTTATCTTAAAATAAATAAATTATATTTATCTTATAATTGTATTGTTATTGTTATGTGTGTAAATGTGTGTATATATTTTCTAAATCTGCATTAAGGTTTTATCTAAGTGTAGAAAAGTATTTGGCAGATATTATATAATAACTTACCATATTGTCGTGGTCAGGACTCCCCTTAATTAATTTTTATGCAAAGATAATTACTGCATTGCCTTTTTAAGCTTTGCTATTCCTTGAGTAAACACCTTTAGTTTAGCAAATACAGTCCATGAAATGGAACGCTATTATTCTTTTTCTACGTTACGTTTAAAACTAATTTTTGAAAACCCATACACTCTTTTTAAAGTTTTTCTTCACAGTGCAAGAATGTATATCATCTTCTGTTGTTGTGAGATTTACTAATCTAAAATTTCTAGGGAATTGAAAATCACATAAAAGTTCACCAAACCCGGAAGTTATATATTCCCTTTTGAACTATTCTTTTCCTCCCCCTTTCAAATGGTTTGTTTTTATCTCTTCTTACTGATTTTCCTATGTTTGGTTATCTATACCTTCACAAATGAAATCTTTTGGGAAGCATTATCTGATTAAATATATCTCCTTTGATCACTTTTTTTTCTTCCCCCGTCATGCTGGGCTAGAAGTATAACATTTCATTGTGAATTGCATTTTGCTTTGTATGTAAATACCAAATAAAGTTCATCTGTATATTGCCTCCTTGGTAGGTTACTGCTTAGCCCAGAATTTTTAGAACCCACAAGATGACACCCCTTCTTAAGTATTTCCCAGATTCCAAAATTTCAGAAGATTACTAACCTCCTTTCCCTCCCCCCCTTCTTTTTTTTCTTATTCTAGAAGGATATGGTGAAGAAATAGCCTGCACTCAGAATGGTCAGATGTACTTAAACAGGGACATTTGGAAACCTGCCCCTTGCCAAATCTGTGTGTGTGACAATGGAGCCATCCTTTGTGACAAGATACAGTGCCAGGATGTACTTGAATGTGCTGACCCTGTAACTCCCCCTGGAGAATGCTGTCCTGTCTGTCCACACACAACTGGAGGTGGCAATACCAATTTTGGTAAGAATGCTCAAGGCCAACTCAGAGCCGGTCCAGTGACTCATCTTTATAGTTGCGGTGGTTTCTGCTCTCAGAATTCAGCAACCAGAGAGAATAATTAAACCACTAGTCAGAGGCGTTTGGGGTTAATGGTTTTGCTCACCCACTTTATGTAACATTAGTGAGAGTGGGGGAAATAATTCGCTGCCTTCTTAAAAACCAGGGGAATTTTTGGCTGAATTTGGTGTTGTTATGTCTAATTTGAGAATCTCTTATACCACTTAAGATGGTCATTTGTTACCCTATCCATGCTGGGTGCCTCCAAGATATTTGTTGGTATTCTATGAGGTACATTAATGTCCAAGAGGAGATCTAGAAAACATGCTTATCTTCTCTTGTGCCAAATTTGCTCTTGAGAATGGAATGATTATTTCTAATGTAATTTAATGCTAGAGTACCCTCTCTTACATTGGCTCAGAAATGCAAAATGCTTTAATGATGGCTCAGAAAGACAAGAGAATGGGATAGATTTCCTGGAGAAAAATTTGATATAAATTACTGGTTTTTAAAACTTATTTTGGAGAAAAATGCCTGTGTTTAATATAGACTATGTATTTGAATACATGTGTTAAAGACACTTACATATAAGAGAAATAAGTTCATATTTTGTGAACCAGGTAAGATTAGCATTAAGCTATCAGGTTATTTGTTTTAGCGGAGTCCTGAGTGGTGACATGCATGCGTCATTGTCAACATAGTGTCAAGGCTTTATTTCCCCCGGCCAAAAATTCCATTGCAAATCACAGCAAATATAATGAAGTATTCAACCATATTTTCATGGAAAAATTAGAGAGTAGTTTACCAACTCTCCTCTTGGATATCATTCAATAGTAACACTATGCCTTGAATAAATAACCAAACTCAAAGTTTAGCAATATAATGAAGAAGGTATAATAGAAAGGATTAAAAACAAGACACCTAAGGGCTATCCAAAGCTGATGCAATGTGCAACGAAGCCCCAGGAACAAAGTAAAACTAAACCTGTAGAGATATGTCAATAATAACTTGGGACAATAGTGGCAAATTAAAAAAAAAAATAGGGGCACCTAGATGACACAGTGGGTTGAGTGTCTGACTCTTGATTTTGGCTCAGGTCATGATCTCACAGTTTCATGAATTCAATCCCCACACCAGGCCCTGTGCTGACAGTTTGGAGCCTGCTTGGGATTCTCTCTGTCTCTCTTCCTCTCTCTCTGCCCCTCTGCCACTTGCACTGTCTCTATCTCTGTCTCAAAATAAATAAATAAAAACTTAAAAAAAAACAGCAAAATATGTGACATTCTACAAGTAGCTGGGTTTAAAAAGTCCAGTTTATTCCAAAATGAATAATAAAAACAGAGTTAGCAAGAGCACTGATACAAAAATACTCTCAGGAAAAAAAGGTGGGAGAGTTTGGCTAAATTTACCAAATAACACGCTGGTAAATACCACAAAACGGATAAAAATTATGACCATTTCGCCATAAACTAAGTAAAACCTAATGAAGTAACTTATTAAGAAAGGCCTACATTACAAATACAGCAAAAATTAATGATGAGCAAGGAAGTGGAAGCAAAACCAAAAGCCATCATAGGGAAATGAAGATGACGTAGGAAGAAGCACAGGAAGAATCAATACTGCCATAACATAGATAACAGATCTATGAAAAAAGGGCTTTTGGTTGAAAAGTTGAAATAAGATATTTGGCAAAGATGAATAAGTATTCTTGATAAAGACGCTTGTAACTTAGTACCAAATGGCATTTCATTAACATGGTAAAATATTTACATGTCAGCATAGAAGCTTCATAATATTTAATATTAGAATTGCTTTCTCCAAACTCAGAGATAGAACATGGATATCCATTATTACCATTACAATTTAATATCTGAACAAACAATTAGATAAGAAAAAGAAATAGACGTTTAGAAATGAGAAGAGAGGAGGTAAAATGATTAGCTGCATAGAATATAATTGTGTACTTATAAAACTTAAGGGAATGAGGTAAAAAATACTAAAAAAATAAGTGCAGTGTAAACTTAACAAACAAATTAATAAATTTGCTATATACAGTCACCCCATAGAATAAATAATAGGAATAAAAAAAACCTCATTTATAATAGCAACAGATAGGATAAAATGGCTAAGAATAAACATGTGATGTATAAGATCTATTTGAAGAAAACTATAAAACAGGGGTGCCTGGGTGGCTCAGTTGGTTAAGCTTCTGACTTCAGCTTAAGTCATGATCTCACGGTTTGTGGGTTTGAGCCTCATGTCAGGCTCTGTGCTGACAGCTCAGAGCCTGGAGCCTGCTTCCAATTCTGTGTCTCCCTCTCTCTCTGTCCCTCCCCCGCTCACGCTCTCATTCTCTCTCAAAAATAAACATTAAAAAAATTAAAAAAAAAGAAAACTATAAAACACTACAAACTCAAATAACAACTTGAAAAAATGGAATGTCCCATTATGTTTTGGGTTAGTAAGACTAATAATAGAAAAAAAAAAACAGTAATAGTGGCCTACTCTGGGGTGGGGGTGAAATGTGGGAACTAGGGGAAGGGAGCAAGATGGAAGGAGATATTTTCACTCTATAATTGTATACCTTTAATGTATTTTGGTTTTTCAGCCATATGAATGAATAGCTTACTCAAAAAAGCATAAAAAAAATATAGGATATTGATTGAAAATTCATTACAATTTTAATAGTTAATTTTATAATTTAGTGAACTTTAAATGCTATATGAATGGTGTGAAGAATATTCAAATAATGTTGGAATTTTCCAAAGGGATGCATATTTTGCCTGTAATGGAAATATTGATCAAAAACAACTTTTGAGTTTTGCTTACTGGTAATAGGGAAACCTGTTTAGGTTAAATTCTGACTCCCCAAAAAACCTATTATTGAAAATAAATATTTAGGAGATTCTCAATTACTGTTTCTTCATAAAATAACATATTTATTCTTTCCCTTTTATAGGTAGAGGAAGAAAGGTAAGTATTACTTTGCATAGTTCCATTTTCATAAATTTCTTTTTTATTCTATGATAACTGTTCACACAGGCTGTGCTTTGTGTATTTGAAAGTCTTTTGTAAAGTACAAGTCTTTCGTAAGTACATACCATATAAATAAAAATATATAAACACAGTTCAGCTACTTTGCTTATAGATTACAACTGCCTCTATTTTATTCACTTTGTTAATTTTTGTTTATAGATATTTCTTCTAGAAGGTTGTAAATCTCTTAGGGATTGAGACTGTGCCACATGAGCCTTTGAATTACTTACATGTATCACTGTACTTAGTATATACCTTGCACATATTAGAAGTGCAGTAACTGCTTAGTGGAAGGAAGGAAGGAAGGAAGGAAGGAAGGAAGGAAGGAAGGAAGGAAGGGAGGAAGGGTAGGTGAGTGGGTGATGGCTGTTGTTCAGTGGAGTTGTGGTCCTGCTTCTATTGGTTGGGAAGTAAAGATATGTCTAAAAGAATTAATTGAACACTTTACCAAACACACATCACCTTCTCTTCCCTCCCCTTCTGCCATTTCAAGGAGCCTAAGATCTAATCCCAGAGGCAAGCCTTACACTCAAGAGGACAATGTATGATATTGTTATGAGCCTAGATACAGCTGGCCAGTTTAGCCACTTGTCATCTGGATATGGGTAATCCCCCTGAGTGAAGAGAGTTACATTCCCTTGGAATTGTTCTCAGTTTTCTAGGTAATTTAAAAACTGTGGCATTTGCTTCAGTCTTATCCAGATGGGATGGGCACAGGGATCAGGAATGGAAATGGGAGGTCATCCCAAATTTCATGGCAGATATTAGGCAGATTTCCAGCGACTTTAAATTGCCTTTACTTTTGCATACAGTAGAACTTCAGTAAGGTGATAAAGCAATGCTACACCTTCATGGTAAATGAAAGTGATGCTATCAAGGGAGGTCCTGGCTACTTTTATACTTTTGGATTAAAAAGGCAGTACCAAAAATTGTCTTATTTGGAATAAATATCAGTGAAGCTATTTAGATTTGAATATATGTCAAATGAATAGGTCTACAAATACCAGCTTACATTTATTTACATCTGAAATTAAATCTGAAGTTTTCCAAAGGCAGTATGGGACAGCTGGTAGAAAGACACACTCAAACCAGTTGCCAATTTACCACATTCTAGTTATGTGCCGCTATATTCATGACTCTGTCATTTGTTATCATGTGCCATCAGAACTTTCAGAGCAGAGTAATGTTATAAAAATGTATTTTGTGCGTGGCTTATATTAATACTGATGTTATTTATAATCTATTTTCTCATGCATGTTAACTCCCAAATAATTACTGAGCCTTTGTTATATCCCTGTATGAGGCAAATGATACAGATGATGCAATGGTGGGCAAAACGCTGTGGCTGTCTCCATGGTAATGGCATCCTAGAAAAGTGGCGAGGCATGTCCATGTGGCATTAAGTGATAAGTAACAGACAAGAGGTAAAATTAAACTGTAATTCACATCTGAATCAGAGTATTTGAATGTTATCTTTCCCAGTGAGTATGAAAATCACATTTAGCAAAAGTTTAGATAAATCTTCATTGCATATAAATTAACTTATTCAAGCCCATATTATTTTTTTATTTTTTCAAAGCCCATATTTAAAAAAAGCAACAAATACTTACATTAGTGGTTTATTTCCAAAATAAGAATTATCACAGAATCATTAGAAAAATTTATCATGGAACCTGATAATGTAACACCGAATCCCATATCAAGTATTGTGGAGCAATAAAAAGTTTGTAATAAGACATCAAAAAACTTACAATTTAGTTGAGAAAGGTACAAGCAAATACCATTCTCCTAAACACAAAGTAAGAGCAAAGGCTGCATTGTAATTGCTGGTCTCAAAATGGAGATTTCCCAGTCATTCTTAGTGGACTATTTCATTTTTCTCTCTTTGGTTGAAATAATTTCTCCTCACTTTTTACTTGTTTTTTCTAAATTTATTCCAGAAATAAAGATTTTTTTTTTCTAGCATAATTCTCATAAAGTCCTTTAGGTGTTCGGCACACATTTACCTACCCTTCCTAAATAATTCAAATTCTTTCAGCATCTCAAAGAAAGCCCTTACAGCTCTTAAAAGATGAATTTTTATTACTTTCAGATTATGTTATAAATGGAAAGACCCAAGCTAGAAGTTAGGAGACTTAGAAATGCAGAAATAAGCCTGCTCTGTTTTACTGACCATGTGTTCATCCCTTTCTTCTCTAGTCTTTTTGTAGGTTGTCTTTTAGTCTCTTGTGTTCTACCTTGAACTTAACTCATATAGAGCTCCCTCCTGCCTCTGTAGAGAAATTTCCCAGGGCTGAATTATCAATTTATTCTTGACTTCCTAACCTTGGCAGTAGAATCAGCAGTGATGATCAGGGTATTGTTCTGCTATTGAATCCATTATTAAGACTATGATGATTGTAAAATAATTTTTAAATATCACTTTACAAAATTTTGTCAGAGGTGGGATACTACTGGAAGGATATAACTAAATTGTACCTATCAGGAGTACACTTAGGAGATCTGGATCAAACACCCAAAAAATATGTATGATCTTTAACCTACAACTTCAACTTCTAGAGATACACCATAAGGTATTAGTTAGAGGTACTACACAAGTATTTATAAACAAGGATATTCATTGTAATGATATTTTTAATTGTAAAAATGAAAGTATAATCTAAGAGTAAAATACTGAGGCATTGATTAAGTAAACCAAGTTCAGGTAAACAATGGAAAACTAAGAATACTACAGTGTTAAAAGTGGTTATCTCCTGGGTGTTAGGTATAATATTTAATTTCTTTTGTAAGTTTCCTCTATTTTCAAAATTCCCTGTTAACCAATATACTTTTTATAATCAGATAGAAGAGCAATATATGTGAAAATAAAAATTAAATAAAATAGAACTCATTAGTCTTTTTAAAAATTTTTTAAACATTTATTTATTATTGAGAGACAGAGCGTGAGCAGGGGAGGGGTAGAGAGAGGGGAGACACAGAATCTGAGGTAGGCTTCAGGCTCTGAGCTGTCAGCACAGAGCCCGATGAGGGGCTCGAACTCATGAACTGTGAGATCATGACCTGAGCCGAAGTTGGTCGCCTAACCATCTGAGCCACCCAGGTGCCCCTAGAACTCATTATTCTTGCTTCTTCTACATTTTGGATATAATCCTTAATGTAGTCATACTTTGCAATTAACCAGTAAAAAGCATTATTTCATACTATATTAATGGAAATTAATATGGTCAAGAATTTATTGAGGTTTTCTGTTAGACAAAACGAGGATGTAAAGTAGACTTGATCATAACCTTAAGGAGACCAAAATCTGTTGGAAGACAAATTCAGAAATAAATAATACAAGTAGATATGAGGTAAAATAAAGGTATATGAAGGTAGAATTCATCCAATATTATTTTACCTATGTACTTGAAATCATGCTCTGAGAATACAATTTTTGAGAGACTGAAGTTCTAAGAATCCCATCTACATCTGTTATGTTTGCTACATCTATTATAAAAGGCAATTAAATTGTCCAATGTTATTTCCTTTATGTTATGATTGTTTTTTGTGTTATTTTTATCTTCCTATTCAGTTAATATTTTTTCTTGATTTTCTTCAGATATTGAGAATTACCTAACCAATATAAGTATGTTCTTTCTTTCTTTCTTTCTTTCTTTCTTTCTTTCTTTCTTTCTTTCTTTCTTTCTTTCTTTCTTCCTTTTGAAGATGAGCAAACTTACCTCTTGTTATTTCTCAGATTCTTCCATGAGTTTTAAAAAAGGTGGCAAGAGTTTTAGGAATGGCATCTGATAAGTTACTAAAACTAGGTGGCATAGAATATGAGTGTGAAAATTCAGCATATCCAAGTTTTGTATTTTCTCTGAGTTTTCAGTCTTTGGGTAGTTTTTCCTATGGTGCTTTGACTTTACATCCTTTTAATCACAAGTATTTCTTGGTCTGGTCAGTTCTTTAGATATTCACTATAAAGACTGAAATTACGCATTTCAAACATTGGATTGATATTTTTGTGTCTTTCAGATGAGTAGTAATTTTTTTCATCAATGTCTGACTACTATAAATATTGCTTCTTTTCTCATTTTTGTTTTTTACATTTCTTACATAGAAATTCTCAGTGTTTACATGGAATATTCTAGTATGATATGACTATCCTCACCAAGCTATTATATTTTGATAATTGAACAATTTTTGCTTCATAGGGACAAAAAGGAGAACCAGGATTAGTGCCTGTTGTAAGTATATGTATATATTGATTTTCATGTGTCTTTAATAAACTTAGCTATAGTATAGTTGTAAAGTTTTGCATATATACACACTCTTGTGAAAAGGGATGTTAGTTATGGTATAACCAAGCTATAGTATAAGACAAACAAACCAAAAGAGGTTAATTCTTTAATATACTATTTAATGTTTATTTATTACAATATTCCTGACTTTTATTGTCCCATGACTATAAATGGAAATCAGGGTTTTCTAAAGTTAAGCATATTATATATAGATGTAAAGTGATAGTTAAGATGTATATATATATATATATATATTTTGCATGTTTATTTATTTATTATGAGAGAGAAAGAGAGACAGTGCTAGCAGGGGAGGAGCAGAGTGAGATAGAGAGAGAATCCCAAGCAGGCTCCACACTGTCAGTTCCCAGCTCCAGTTCTTACGAACTGGGAGATCATGACCTGAGCCAGAACTAAGGGTGGGCACTTACCCGACTGAGCCACCCAGGTGCCCCTATTTTTTGTGGTATAAATAGTCATGTAATCCAAATAAAAGGCATCACTTAATATTCCACACTTCTGGAAATATATCTTGCCATTTTCCTGATTGAAATTCCATATTGTATAAGAGTTCTTAAGACTTGTTTAGACTTGTACATGATCAAAAAGTATATTGTTAAGTGGGATGAAAATTCTTCAACCATCAGTCTCATAGATCTCAAAGAGTTATCATCACTCTGTCAGAAGAAAAGTATATGCACGTTGATTTATTTGGCAGTGTTTGAATTTTTGCTTTGCCTTGAAATTGGCTTGTTTTTAACAAAGATTACCTAAAAAGTAAACCATTCATATTGTTGTCTTTCATTTAAAAACACTTATGTGTACTTCCTATGTCTTACATGCTATTTTAAGTGCTTTACAAATATTTATTTGTCTTCATGACAACTTTGTGAAGGAGGTAATTTCATAATCATCATCATCATTTTACAGAAGAGGAACATAAAAACATAAAGTAATAAGTAATTTGTCCAAAGTCAGACAACTGGTAAGGGATAGAGTTAGGATTTGAACCCAGGCCTCTTGGCTCCAGTGTGGTGCTCTTAATCCCTATAGCAGTCCTGCCTCTGTATATGAGAGTTTATATTAGATAACATCTTAAGGCATAAGCAAGGAGAACATGGGCATCAATTGACAACATCTGTTTGCTCTGAAAAAATTCACTGGGGCTTTTGTTGTTATTCTTATTTGTTTGACTATTGATTTTTCTTAAACTCTATCGAAACTTCATCCTTACAGATTATCTTGTTTATCATTTAGGTAACAGGCATACGTGGTCGTCCAGGACCAGCAGTAAGTAGTTTCCTCCAACATTCATGGTACTCTTAAGTTCTTACAGTTACTGAACATCTTTATGAATATTATATCCATCAAAAGACAATAGAATGAAAACCATGATGCTTGGTTTCTTGAAACGTTTTGTTTTGAAACATCTTCAAGTATAAGCATTCCTTTGCAGCAATGAATGATGTATAAAAGATCATTTCGTTCTGAAATTGATGAACCCTATTTTTCCTCCATGTTAGTGTTTTTATTGGCTATGTAAAAGCCAAAATGATCTATTGTTACATTGTTAATTTTAGATTAGCTTTACTCATTAAGACACACTTACCTATTGTTTGGCAATAATTAAAGATAGACTACGTTTATCTGTTTAATGAAACAAACTGTTAATTTCATCTGTTAATGAAATTAAATCGTATTTCCATAGAATTTGAGAAATTATACAGCAGAATAGCATATTACTGGGTTAGCACAAAAGACTACTGATTTCAGGTTTGGATTAGCAGTAACATTCTAGGTAACTAGACAGAAAACACATACATATATTCCCTCAGATCATTGATAATTTAGGGTTTGCACATCTATGTAGTTCTAAAAATCCAAACTGTAGGTTTTTATGGCCATAATGTAGTGACAAAGGCTTGCTTAGGACAAGACAGCAAAAATGATCCTCATAAACTTTGTAATTATCATTCAAGCAATATATTTAGCTCACTGAGCTCCATGATGCTATAATGTAACACTTAATTCTTTAATTCTTTACAGACCTTTAAGCTTCATTGCTAATATAAATAGCCTTTCTGTGTACACAGAGCTTTTATACGCACATGGCTTTATTTTCTACAGTCTTCAACTGAACTGAATTTAAAAAAAAGTGATATTTGTTTTCTGATTTTCTTAGATCAAGCAAACATTTAAAATAAAAACATCTGAAGTATACGTGTTTTGCAGGCTTAATCATCACTTTCCATTTCAGGGGCCTCCAGGATCACAAGGACCAAGAGGAGAGAGAGGCCCAAAAGGAAAACCTGTAAGTTGACAGCAGAGTTCCCTTTTCAGTGAAGTGTACCATGTACCGGGTAAGCCCGTCTATACCACGTTCTCTGGATGCAACAAAGAGTTGGTGGCACTGTTTCTCTCTCATCTCTATTAAATGTGACAGAATTCAGGTCATGAAGTGATTGTGGGTCTTTTCTGATTCAGAGGAAAGTATCACATGGTAATAATTACCTGTTATCTTTTTAGGTAACACAAATGACATTTCTTTGTCCCTCGTGAGGTCAAAGTAAAATAAAGTAGAAAACCTAAGGAAACATAATGAATACCTCATGTTATTTTCAGAAGTTGTAAATCATGAGTGAACAATGCCAGGAATGTACTGTTGAGATAAAACACCAAAGTTCTGTGATCTGTGGTTGCTGCAGGGATAACCAAACTGGATAAAGGAAAAAAAAATTATTAGAGGACTAAATTTTATTTCAAGTGGTTGTACAATGAATTTATTTCCCAAATAACACTCTATCTATTTTCACTGTGCAGCTGCTGCAGAACTATCAAAGGAGTCATTTTAAAAATCAACAAATCCGTTACCAGAACAAAGGGAACACCTTTAAATTTAAATGATCAACTTGATACCCTGGAGATAAAACATGAAGATATTATATAACACATGCCAGATGTTTTTTCTTATTAGCAAGTCCTAGGATAGCGATTCTGTTTCTTTTTATATCTTACCCTCAGAAACTAATGTCTTTCTGTATTAAATAACTCGCTTAATTTTTGTATTGCTATCATTGTATTGCTATCATTATCTTATGTTTTAATCAGAAAAGCTTGTGCTGTTTAATTTTCTGTCTAATGTCTACTAAATTCAACTCTCTAGGTTTTTAGCTTTCCAAATATGTATTTATACATATTTAGATGGGAGAAATAGATAAGCAGGAGAGCAACAGACAACCTTGAATATATAAATAAAGAAAAATGTATTTTAGATCATGTTGCTTGGAACTCTTGCCCCTTGATTCATCTTTGAATACGTTTGACCAAGTATTGCATGATGACAGTACTACAAAACTGGGGCTGGAGTTATGGATGGTATTGGCAGGCATGCAGGTAAATGACAGCACCCCGGGGAAATGGGGCATAGTCGTATATGTGTGCAGTAATGCTATGTTCTGATTATCTTATGCTGTTATTCATTCTTCACTGCTGTTCTACTGAGCTGTCTCACGAGTACTGGTGACCTGAATACTGTTAGTAGCTCTCTAGATGCCTGTCCAAGGGTCTAGAATGACATAAACAGGTCGAAGATAATTTCAATTAGGTGGAAGGTGGTGGCCATGCAGTAACATTGTGCATCAATGTACTTGTGCCCAGGATAATTGATAACACTTAGCCCTAGGTCTAGGTGGAAGTTACTATAGAAATAGTGATTGCGTTTTCAGAATTCCTTGTTAGGATTCAGTGAGTCTGCTGTCACCCTGTCTTCTTTTCTTGACTTAGTGTGTGATATGCTGCCCTTCCTATCTTGGTTAGCCCTGAGATAATCAATGGGAATTAGGTGTGTGTGTGTGTGTGTGTGTGTGTGTGTGTGTGTGTATTTAAAAGAGTGAGGAGTAGTTATTTATTTGGAATTAAGCAAAAACAATCCTGGCAGTTGCCCAAATAGGCAATCTGTTCCTCTGTTAATCCTAGCAAGCAGTGGGATGATAGTTTTTAACAACTGTCTCATTAAAAAAAATGTGCCTATACTTTTGCTGATTTCCCTGGTGTAAATACTTCCACTATGGCCAATTGCAAGATACTGGCATGATGTTACAAAATATCCATTGGTAGAGCATTTTGCCTCAGGTCCCAAGACTTGCAGGAGCTGTTTAACTAGACTAAAGCTGTGGCTTGCACAACGTAGGGTGGTACAGCTATCATAAATACCGTTTTCTCCTCCTGCTTCCGTTACCATCAGACACTACAGAATGCTCACTATGTAATGCATGGTTTCTCAACCTCAACACTATTGGTATTTGGGGCCACATAATAGCTATGCATTGTAGGATGGTTGGCAGAATTCCTGATTTCTACCCACTAGATGCCAAGTAGCAACACCTGTCCTCCTCCCACATACAATTGCGACACCAAAAATGTCTCTTGATGTGACCAAATGTCTCCAGGGGAGGGGAGCAAAAGTGCTCAGGATTGAGAACTACTGTGATATAAATACTCTCCGGAAGTCTTTATGACTAGTCAGTGACCCCCAGGACTGTCTCTTATCATATGTCCTTAGTTTTAACTAAGTAATCCTAGTAACTTCATAGTGACAAACTAGCAATCTGTCAGGAGATAGATAGGGTGTGCTGAGTTCTAATTGCATGTGACACTCAACCTCTGTAGATCTGTTTCTACATAGGTAAAATGGGAAATATGCTGTATTTTACCCACTCTAGCATTTCATAATTTGTGTGTGTGTGTGTGTGTGTGTGTGTGTGTGTGTGTGTGTGTGTGTAGTGAATAAAGTTCTTGACTACTGGGGTAGTTAGTCCTTTCTATTTGTGAATGTTTAAAGGTTGCCACCTAGTGGTAATCTATAAGTACTTTGTATTGTAAATGGCTGCCTGAAATTAGTACTAGAGTATCTTGAGGAATGGGAGAGAATGATGATAAATAGAATATTTACCTTAATATAAAATGTATGTAATTCATCTCACTTGGAAATATGAAAGTATATATTTTAATGTGTTCCCAAATTATATTTTTGTTTTCAGTGTTTATCAGTAAAACTGCTCATGTATTATATTTTTTCTTACTTTCACTTATAATTATGTTCACTTAATTTTGGATAAGTTAAAAAATTTTTATTAATTTTAATCTCAATTTGTAGAAGTGTAACTCATGTAGGCTATTTAGAGGAGATTCTTTGGAGACACTGAATGCATCATGAAGTCAATAGAAAAGTGGGCTGTCTTCAGAACAAGACTTTGAAACATGATTATTAATGTTTCACATTAATTAATCACGGTGGAGGGTGGTGGCCATGCAGTAATCATAGATTAATTAATCACAGAGGGATGGAGAAAGCATATGATTTTTGAGGATCAATACCACCCAAACCTCTCTCTATTCTCATTGAAACTAAATGTAGTTTTTGATTTTGTCTTTAGAAATCTTTTTGGGAGGAGAGATGTTTTAGTTCATTTTTTGTATACAATGATACCTGGTTATCAGTTAGCAATTTCATATTTCAGAAACACATTAAATGTTTTCCACACAAGGCTCTGAGTAGATCATACTACTAACTTTGTCTGTCCCACCATTGACAGTATGAATTTCCAGCTCATGTTGCTCTCATGTGTATGATCAGGAATCCTAGACAGCAATTTACATCAGCCTCTTATGTCTAATGAAAAGAGTTAAGTGACTCTACAGTGGTTTAAGAGTCAGAAAGCATTTGACTTGATAAAGGATGAGAATAATTTCCTGAGAAATCAGTTTTCAAAGTGTTTTTCAGACTATCTACTTCTATTTGAATAGATGTGTTTGCTTATCTTCTACTCTTCTAAGAAATACATATATATATATGAATCTATACAAATATTTGAATATATTAATTAAATTATGCCACCCTCCCCAAAGCCATCATATGCCAGCTGCCCCCTTTCCCACCTCATCTTGTTTTATATGTCCTCCTTCAGCTGTATCAGCTCATATTTGAATTACTTTTGTAAGCCAGGAGGTGTTCTCATGTTTAGAGAGGAGAAGCTTCTTTTTTTAAACTCCAATTCACTTATCATATTTTTCTTGATCCCTGCTTCTAACTATAAAAATCATATTGACTTTGAGTTCTTTGGTCCTTTCTTTCTTTTTGAAGACTGTTAAGACTCTTCAGGGTTAAACAGACAGAAAATACTTCACAAGACTTGTGGGAATGATGAGGTTGGAGGACAGAACATTTCCAGAACTGAGGACGTGGCTGTTCACCAAGCTGCCTTCAGAATGTGGTTTGGGAGGAGGGTGGAATTTGGCAGCTAGAAATCATTGCTCACTTCTCTGAGAACTAGACTTGGCTGGATCACTGTGCCTTTTCCTCTGTTTCTCATTGGTCTGATCCACCTTTAGGGGTGGTAAGAAAAACAAAGCATGCCAGAACTTAAGTAGTAGAATAAAAAGGATTGAAATGTGAAGATGTAATAAGCATATATCGAGGGTCTACTATGTGCCAAGAACTATACAAAACATCAAAATATTAGAAAGATTAAAAAAGCCACAAATACCAGTCAAGGAGCATACCAGTCAAGGAGCTTCTATATATATGTACACACACATATATATGTATATATATACACACACATATACACATACATACATATGTATACATGTGTATATATATGTATATATTTTCAGTAGGAGGAGGTTAAGCAAGCACATATATAGTTAACCATAATCTAAGACAGACATGTGAATTTAGAACTTATTGATTAAATACCACAAAACCAACCAAATAAGGAAGCTTATTCTAGAATACTGGTGAACTCAATAAAATTTTATAATTATTCCAAGACAGCTCATTACTGGGGATTTAACACATCAAGACTAAAATTCTTACCCAAAATATACCATGCCCCTAAGCAGAGGCTGTGATCCGTGCTGAAGTCAGCAGTGTCAGCAGAGCTGATGAAATTGCTGTAGTTGGCTGGATTGCAATCTACTTTTTTTAAGATTTTATTTTTCTTAGAGAAGTTTGAGGTTCACATCAAAAATCAAAGCAGGCACAAAGAGCTCTCATATATGCCCTGTCCCCGTACATGCATAGCCTTCCCCATTATCGACATCTCCCATCAGAGTCCATAGTTTACATTAGAGTTCCTCTTCATGGTGTACACTCTGTGGGTTTGGACAAGTGTATACTGATACATACATCATCATCACAGTACCATTCACAGTGTTTTCACTGTCCTAAAATTCTCCTGTGGTTTGCCTTTTTATCTCCCCATTCCCACCCCAACCCTTGGGAACCACTGATCTTTTTCACTGTTTCCCTAATTTTGCCTTTTCCAGGAATGTCATAGAATTGGAATCCTACAGTATGGCTATTCATTTTAAACATAATGAACACTTCCTCTCCATCAAGAAGTCTGTCTTTTAGATTTCTACTTAAGTACATATTTGGCAATGGGTTCTAATGAGCATGGGCTTGTTTTTCCAGGGTCCTCGTGGTCCTCAGGGAATTGATGGAGAACCAGGTGTTCCTGGTCAACCTGGTGCCCCTGGGCCTCCTGGACATCCATCCCACCCAGGACCTGATGGCATGAGCAGGGTAAGTTCTATATATTGTTGACTGTTATATTTCGATTATATATTAGTTTTTAAATTTTCTTTTATTTTTGAAGTATAGTTGACGTACAATGTTATATTAGTTTCAGGTGTACAACCTATTGATTCAACAATTCTATACATTACTCAGTGCTCACCATGATAAGTATAGTTATTATCTGCCACCATACAATATTATTGCAATATTATTCATTGTATCCCCTATGCTGTACTTTTCATTCCAGTAACTTATTTATTTTATAACTAGAAGTTTGTACCTCTTAATCCCCTTCACCTATTTTGCCCATCCTCACACAAAATTTTGATACATTATTAAGAGTTTAAGTTGTCTTAGTTCAGAAGTTGGCCCTTGACTGCAACAGCAGCTAAGTGAATGCAGTGAACTCAGAAACCCACAGAGAATTGTCAGAAAATTCACAAGAGCATTTTGTAAAGTACCGCTTTGAATGACTTATTTCTCAGTGTCAGTTCTGGAACTGGTTTGGTTCTTTCTGCTGATTCTAAAGGACTGCTAATATTGTTCCCAATATGAATTGAAAAGGGAAACATCTCTAATCTTCTGCTGTTCTTAGGCTCAGAACGGTCACAAAATCTGTGTCATTTCCTCCACAAGAAGGGAGGATGACAGATCCATTATGATGTATATAGAAAGGCTACCTAGTTGACACTAAAAATGTTATCTGATTACTTCCCAAATTTTAGTTTCCTGCAAGAAATAAAATAAAGCAAAATATCTTTCTATACCTGCTTCTTTGAATTCTTGGTGGCAGACATAGGTGATTTATGAGTAGATTGCATAGCAAAACAAGGGAACATATGGAGCCATGAAATATGATTTTTGTTTTATAACAATTTATACACTTATTTCTCAACTGATTGTAGAAGTAATTGCCAATTAATTTTTTTTTAATAATATACACATTTACCCCCCAAAATCTGGAAAGAACTCTGGGAATATATGTGGACAATTTTGGTCATTTGGGTTACCAGAGTTTTTGTGATGTGAAAGAAAATAGGTAAAACTGTTGCCAATTCTTGGAATAGTCAAAGATTAGAAGGATTATAAAATCTTTATCAACTTATATAAATACAGTGTAAAGTTTACTGGTCATGAACAAAGAAACAAGAATACCATCTAAGTAAAATAGTCTCAAATTGAAACCGGAATCTTTAGGGAATATGTTTAAAAGCATCTCTTAGGCTCTGTTCAGATTTTTGGCATGGGAGAAAATCAGATAAAGAGATTTAAAGCTGAAATCGATGAGACTGGAAGAATGATACATGCTTTTATCAAGTATGAGACATTTGGCCCATTGAAGTCGTTATTCTGAAGCAACATAGTCATAAATATTCTAAGGAAGATTGTTCAATCAGAAACACATACAATGAAAAAGAATTTGAATCTTTTTCTGTGCTTTAAAGTCTAAAATATCAAATGATTCTCAACAGAGCCATTCTATAAGAATCCCAGAGAATGTGCATTTCTGAATGTAAGTTTGTTGATATATGTCTCTTACTTTGGAAATAACATGAAGACATTGCATTTATAGCCATTTTCAGCTCAGATGGCTGGATTGGATGAAAAATCTGGACTTGGGAGTCAAGTAGGACTGATGCCTGGATCTGTGGTAAGTGAAAATTTTACTGATAATCAAGGTTCTTGTGGAAAATAACATTTTGTAAAGCAAGGTTTGAATTTGCTAATTAAGAAGTAATATGTGTCTTATTTTTTTGTAAGTTTATTTTGAGATTGGGGCAGGGGTGGGGGTTGGTGGTGAAAGGGCAGAGAGAGACAGGTAGAAAGAGAAAATCCCAAGAAGGCTCTATGCTGTTCGCCTGGAGGCCAACTGTGGGGCTCAATCTCACAAACATGAGATCATGACCTTAGCTGAAATCAAGTGGGATGCTTAATTGACTAAGCCACCCAGGCACCCCAAGAAGTAATATGTGTCTTCTTAAATAAATCTACCCATTAATTCATTCAATTTATGTATCAAATCCTGCCATGCACCAATTAAAAAAGCCTAGTGGGTGTTCCATTCATAACTGTGCAAAGTATTTGTTGACTTTAATAAAGGGCTGCCTATATATTTTATTTAATATTGGAAGAAAATAAAGAATTTAAACATATAACCTACTACAACAAAAACTGTACTTTTAATGGTGTTAGAAACAGTGATCTGGCAAAATTTTGACATGGGAAATTTTGCCATTTTAATTTTCATTATTTCCTACGTAATATCCTCTGGATGCCTATGCCAACAACTCTGAAGTTTCCTGACTGGACCTGCTAACCATTCCCATCCTCTTTTGAATTTCTTCAACTGCCAAAAAGAGTCCCATTTTCTCTGGGCAAGTACTTTAACCTGGGTATTTGGAGAAAACAAGCTCACTGAATGAATTAATACTTATCAAACCAACAATCCCATGCTTTTTTTGTTCATAACATAATTCAAAGGCATCCCAGATTAATGGAGTTTCAAGGCAATAGCAAGTATAAAATTAGACCACAGAACCACCCCCTTTACCCATCCTTAAGGCCAGCATTATGAGTGACTTAAATATTGTTTTGGCGCCTGGGTGGCGCAGTCGGTTAAGCGTCCGACTTCAGCCAGGTCACGATCTCGCGGTCCGTGAGTTCGAGCCCCGCGTCAGGCTCTGGGCTGATGGCTCAGAGCCTGGAGCCTGTTTCCGATTCTGTGTCTCCCTCTCTCTCTGCCCCTCCCCCGTTCATGCTCTGTCTCTCTCTGTCCCAAAAATAAATAAAAAACGTTGAAAAAAAATTTAAAAAAATATTGTTTGTATACTTTTTAAGTCACTAGCAGTATGGGCTCATACAATGATTATCTTGGGATATTTTTCTGAAATATATGAGTTTTCATCCATTTGAAGTTCAATTGCATATATGTTTGTTTATTTATTTATTTGTTTGTTTATTTATTTATTTAAATGTTTATTTATTTTGAGAGAGTATGAGCAGGGGAGGGCGGAGTGAGAGGGAGAATCTTTTTTTTTTAATTTTTTAAAATGTTTATTTATTTTTGAGAAAGAGAGAGAGAGCAGGGGAGGGGCAGAGAGAGAAGGGACAGAGGATACAAATCTGGCTCTGCACTGACAGCAGAGAGCCCAATGTTGGGTTTGAACTCAGGAACCACAAGATCCCTACCTGAGTAAAAGTCAGCTTAACCGACTGAGGCATCCAGGCATCCCTATGTTTATTTTTTTTAATGGGGTTTTGCTTTCTTACTAGCTAAAAATCTGATCAATTCAGAATAAAAGTTTAATTTTTTTGCCATAAGAACAAATGGTTTTGATTTGATTTCACTTTCCCTGACATTTACAAAATTAGGTAAAATTAGGTAGATATATTATTAATAAAATGTTTCAAATTGCATTTTCCTTTTCTTCCCTTTGTCATACCTTGGTATAATCATTTCATGTTTAATAGGGGAAAGCCTGTGTTGATCCTTTAAATGTATGTTATGAAAGACAAAAAGAATCCAGAAATCTCAGTGCCATAGATAATTGTAAATTAACACTTAATATAATCTAGTCAATATTGTTGATGGCTTCATAAGTCTTTAATTCGATGTGCTCACAAGTTTTCTGCCATGAAGCTGAAGAACAGTTTGATATAGACAGTTTAATAATGCCTGCCAAGATTTTTCTTTTGTTGGCTGTTCTGGCTTAACAGAACCACCCTCATGCATGCAAATGCTCTTGTTCCAAAGACATTGGGTGTATACAGGCATATCCTTTTTTCCCTTTATGAGACTGAAAGTATGTATAAAATCATCCCAAATGTTGTCCAGACTTTAATCTTCTTGAATTTAGCTGCATTCCAGATGAGTACAAATGGAGAATGTCATCATCTTCTGCTGTCAGAGCTTCACTTTTCCAGATTCTAAGCCTGATTCAACATTTTTGAAATGTTTGGCCTAATTGTCATGAACACTATCCAACTCTTCTTCTCATTTGTTTTTAAGGGTCCTGTTGGCCCAAGGGGACCTCAAGGCTTACAAGGGCAGCAAGTAAGTCTTTTTATGATTAAACTACATACTATGGCAAAAAAGAAACAAATACAAATAAGGTCTCTGTGACATGAGTGTTTTTTGGCCAGCCTTTAAATTTCATATTGTAATGCTCACTTTGAACAGGCTGTATTTAATTAACTTCTGCTCAGAAATATATGCAATATGTTTTTCAAGTTTCTTCATGGGACTGAAGTTCCATCATCTGGATTCTTTATGTGACTGGCCTCCAATACAAAGAATTTTTGTACCTTCGCTTCTGAAATAACAGATCATTATCTCACATCATAATGAAAATTCTCATATTTGGTTATGTGCTAACTCTGAGGCTGTGAAATCAGATCACAGAAGCTACCACCATGTGGTGTTAGAAATCACAGTCAAGGTAATCAATCCATGGAATCTTTAAGAAGAATATAATACTATACTTTGTTTCTATAGCATATCAAATACCAATAAAATAGTAATGTAGTGCTCTTTTAATTTTTGTGGTGATTTAACCAGCAGTAGGAAATACGTTTTCAAGAGAAAGGGAAAGAAAGAATTCTTAGCTTTTACCGTATTGTCATTATCATGTGTGTGGAGTTTTACCTTACGCCATTTTATATTACTGCCATTGGTGAATAGAAAATGTAGTTGTTGGTGATGATGAAGAAGATGACAATCATGATCATGATGATAACTATCCCATCGATGGAACACTCTATGCCAGCATTATTCTAGGTTCTTAACATGCATTTGTTATTAAGAGAGTTACAACAGCCTAATGAAGTAGGTAGCTTGATTATTCTCACTTCAAAGATTAGGAAATTGAGGTATAGAGAGATTAAGTGACTCACGCAAAGTTGGAAAGTGGTAGGGCCAACAATTTAATTTATTCTGTTTTTCTTTGGTTTGTATATATAATAAACATATAATTATATTTATTTACATAATTTGTTCTCAATTTTAGGGTGGTGTTGGCCCTACAGGACCTCCTGGCGAACCTGGTGAACCTGGACCAATGGTAAATGTCAAGTAAGCATGTAGACCCAGTTAAATATGGGCCCAGCATTATAATAATATTGTGAATTATTTATTTTACCAGCTCTTTCCTAAAGTAGCAAGAAATTACAGTCCAGTTCAGGAGGCCTGTATTATGGACAGTGCTTAAGATATATGTTTCTTATAGCAGGGTATTCGAATTTTGTTAATATTTATGTATTTTTTGAGAGACAGAGAGAATGTGAGTGTGAGTGGGGGAGGGGCAGAGAGAGAGGGAGACACAAAATCTGAAGCAGGCTCCAGGCTCTGAGCTGTCAGTACAGAGCCTGATGTGGGCTTGAACTCACAGATGTCTAGATCATGACCCAAACTGAAGTGGATGCTTAACTAACTGAGCCACCCAGGTGCCCCTGTAGTAGAGTATTTAAGTTCAGAGGCTTTGAATATGGTTAGCAGACCATGCTGAGATATTTGCATTCATGAAATTAAAATTCTTTCCTTTGAGTACCTAATCAAGGCATGCAACATAAAATTCAGAATATTAATAAAGCTATTTTCTGTGATATTTTTCATTTGTCTCAACAATATTTTAGATTATCTCATTGGTAGGTATAGGTAAATATAAGTAAATTTTCTTTTTTTCCTTTTATTTTATTTTGTTATTAGGGCCCAATAGGTGCGCGTGGACCAGAGGGCCCTCCTGGAAAACCTGGTGAAGATGTAAGCTGCCATCCTTCATTTTGCTTTGAAATTTTGCAGAAGTTAAGAAGGAGCTACATGAATATTATTCATTAATTCCCAATTTATTTTCTCCACTTTTAGCTTCCATTAAATGCACACAAAACTGGAGAACTCAGAGTGTGGTTTTACAAAATCTAAAAGTATTCTTAATTTTGATGGTTTTATATCATTAGGTATTCTCTTTTTCCTTGTATTCCAAGGTTTTTTTGTCCATTATAATTTCTCTGTAAGATACTAGAATTGCTGTCATGATAGCCACAACTTTTGCTGGTGGAACCTTTGAAATGAATTTAAAGAAAAATACATTGCTCTGATGGCTAACCATCATCACGAGGTCTTCATTGAACGGAGTTTTTTAACGTGCTGAGAGTATAGTGCCAATATTGTTCTCCAATGCTGAAAAAGCCATTTCCTCATTTTTAAAGTTGAGACTCAACTTCAGATTTTAACAGTAATAACATGTGATCTAAAAACAGGGTGCAAAAACAGATTTGCTTCTCTGGATTTTTTTTTGTTAGTTGTACCAAAGTTGAGGATAAAACCATGGTTAAATCATTAATTTCTCTGTGATACTACACCAAGTAAATACTTTCTCCTTGTGTGTCGTGAGATTTATTTAAGGAGATTACATTGAATTTGGTCATAAGGAAAATATGTCTAGTAGTTCTTAGTTTATCACAAGAAATGACAAGTAGTACTCTTAAAAACTTTTAATTCAGTGCCACATGTGGATATAGAATTTCATAGCATATGCCTCTGTGTGTACATGTGTGTAAATTTTAACGTTTATGAAATGGTAAGCTAGGTCAGACTAGTATAATTTATATTAATTTCTTCTTCTGGATAAATTAATGAGAACTTCACAAACTGACTTGCTCTAATGGATTGCCATCAGGAGTAGAGCCAGTACTTTTATACTGTTTAGAGCTTTGGGCATGAGCTTTCTTAAAAAGTCTTTTGTTTGCAATTGATTTGTCATCTAGTCTTAGAAGGGAACATTTGAATCCTCTTTGTTTCTCCCTCACCTTGCCTTTTTTTTTTTTTTTTTTTTTTTTTTTTTTTTTTTTTTACCTTAAAGGGTGAACCTGGTAGAAATGGAAACCCTGGTGAAGTGGGATTTGCAGGATCTCCAGTAAGTTTATAATTGTCAGTACAATGCCATTAAGGCCAACTTTTTTTTTTTTTTCAACGTTTATTTATTTTTGGGACAGAGAGAGACAGAGCATGAACGGGGGAGGGGCAGAGAGAGAGGGAGACACAGAATCGGAAACAGGCTCCAGGCTCCGAGCCATCAGCCCAGAGCCCGACGCGGGGCTCGAACTCACGGACTGCGAGATCGTGACCTGGCTGAAGTCGGACGCTTAACCGACTGCGCCACTCAGGCGCCCCAAGGCCAACTTTGAAAGGCAAAGAACATTAAAATTACCTTGTGCTTCATTCTATGCATGTGGACTAGTAGCTCTCACCAACATATGTTCCCTTCTGTCATCGTGAAGCAGTACATTTTGCCAGAGTGATAGCTAATTCCAATTTCCTATTTTGCATTGGCCCCATATGAACAATTGGCATCAGATAGTCATTTTATAACCTAATACGGACACTCTCCAAACTTACTGTCAAATTTGCAAAGTCACCAGCCTGACCTCTTTACATTTCCCAACATCCTAATCCCATTTATCTTTTTAATATTTTATTTTTTGTTGTTCACATATCAAAAAGAACAGCTTGAAAATTTATTGATTTGTCTTTTATATATGATAGGGGCAATAAACTATGCCTCTTTGGCTGCTCTCCAAACCCTAATGTTGGCTGAAATCCTTAATTGGTGTTCTGGACCCTAAAATCTTATGACAAGATATACTGATGGCCAGCACTCCTAACAGAGCTGTTTTCCCCCCTTGGTTTACTACAGAGACACGTCCCTGGTGACGCGCTCCACCAGAATTCAGGATCTGAGCCCCTTGGCCATATTCTAAACCCATCTTTCTGTCCTCACTCATGTTACTTTTATAGGCCCTCTCCTAGGATATGCTACGCAGCCAATGGGGAAAATTAGAGATCAGCAAGTGAAACCCTCTTAACATTCTTGCTCTTAAAGTTTCTTCTTGTCTGGCATCCTCTAAATGGATTTAACCTTCTAATCCCTGCATTTCCTATGATTTTCTAATGTTTCTTGCAATCAATACAACCAATAGTGCTGAATTAGTCTCCATTTACTTCCTGAAAAGTATTGAGGTTCAATGCTTGGATTTTTTTTAAATAAATGAGTGCTCATCTTTTAAGGGAATTTACAGGGCTGTAAGGATTAGTTTCAAATATAAAACCAATTTCCCAGCTCCCTGCTCTCTCTTTCCTTTCCTCCCCCATCAGCCTGGGGAGTCAGTGCAGACGAAGGCATGAGGTTTAGTCATTAGCACAGATGTCCACGTCAGCCGGTCCAGGCTTGAACTCCCACCCTGCTGCACTCTTGCACATCCTCTCAGTGTGGGCCCTCCATGGGGAGGAAGCAGGCCCTGCCAGCATGTCACAGATGCACTCTGTGAGCGCTGTGCAATGACATGTGATTGGGGTGTGATGACAGTCTTGGGTCAGCAGAAAGAGAAAATTTTATGAGTACTGGTACATCTGGTTCATTTTCTTGTTGCATTAGAGATATGTAATCACTTGAGAATTTCCTTGCAGACCACAAAAACTCAAAGTTAACTAATTACTTGAAATAACATAGTTCAGTAATTCTCCTATAGGCTCAGTGTACTGTGTTTTCTGCTCAGGAAAGAGGGGGAGCAAATCTACATAAAGGGGAGCATTCCAGTGGAAAAACTTAAAGGAAGTTCTTGAAGTGAGGAATTCCTAAGCAGGGCTGTGTAAACAGAAGAATTAGTGGAACTTTGTTTGTCCAGAGAACGTGGTTTGATGTGCCCTGACTGTTATAATCCTTCCTTAAAGCACTACTGAGACATTTTCCCTACAAGAGGTCACAGAGGAATGATTGCTTTGCTTTTATCATATGAATTTCATTTAAGGAGTATTCACTCATTTAGGAAACAGTGAATGAAGGCGATGATGTACAAAACAGAAGACTTTTCCATCTGTGTAAGATTGTGTTAGAATAAGAGAAGTTCCTTAGGAAAGGCTTAGGAAAAGTGCTTGAGTGTTAAAAGAAATGTTAAACCATTTCTTCAGTTGTTTATACAATGATTATTCCTTGAATGCCCACTCACGTAAGGCTTAGTGCCAGGCATATGTAGATTAATAGTAATAATTGTTAATAATTGATACAGCAACCTATGCTATCAGTGTACTCAATCGACTGGTACCAGTGGTAATAGCATTCAGTTCAAAACCAAATTAATGTAGGCAATGAGAATAACTGAACAATTAAGTCACCGGGTCCTTATCTATTTTAAGAGGGTATGAGGAAAAAGTTTGAAGCATCATTTCAAAGTAGTCATACCTTTTGGATTTAATTTTCTGTTTGATTTCTATTGTTTTTTATTCACTATGCTTAGGTGGAGGATGCATAAAATTAGCATAAATTAAGGAGTTATTGAGTCAAGGAACCAACTTGTTCTCTCCGTATTTCTTGACCATCCCTTCTGTTGGATATTTCATTTCTTCAATTAATCTTTTAAACAATCACAAATCCATAAAGCTTCTGAACATTTTACTTGAAATCAATTTCTGATCACATTTTAATGCAATCTCCCCAATCATATTCTGCTGCCAATATTTAGTAGTTCAGAGAAAATAAAACACATTGGTGTGTACAAGTTTATTGATTCTTCTGCCACAAGTAAAGCACAATATAGAGAAAGCATAGTTTTCCTTAAGTTACTTTTCTGGTTTTTTTCCATGTACAGTGACTTAGTTGATTCAGACATTGAACATGTTGATTCAGGCTTATTTTCTTGTTTTTTCTTTGTTTTTTCTATGTTGTGGGGGTTTTTTTGCTACTAATTATAATGCAGTGATATAATTTCAAAATTTGGAAATGTCATCAAATCAATACCTGGCATTAATCCATGCCTTTTTGTGTAAGTCATGTTTCCATACCTAACAGTGAGTTTGCTTTGCTAATTTTTGATCATCTAGGTGTATTTCGACAGATTAAAAGTACACTGCCCCTTTCTCTTCTTTGGTATGTTAGTGGAAAACTATGTATTAGATTTTCAGTTTGAACAAAAAGTGTATTAAGCAGTTTCCTGTTCTTATTAATGACTCTCAAATGCCTTCTCTATTTTTTCCCACAGGGAGCTCGAGGATTTCCTGGGGCTCCTGGTCTTCCAGGCCTGAAGGGTCACCGAGTAAGTTCAATCCTTTATAATCCTTGCAGATACCATGGCTTATACCAGTAGGGTCTGGGGTGGGGGTGGGGGGCATTACCTTTAACATCTTTACAATTCTATTTGTCAGTTGTCTTTAACTGGCTGTAGTGTCAGTATTCATCTCTGGTCACCAACTTCACAATGCTTTTTTCTATTTCCTTTGAATTTTATCTGACTTTATAACAAATATATTTTGTGTTCTTACCCTCGTGCTGGCTACTGTGGTGCAAAAGAAGACATAGTGGTGAATGAGAAAAATCCCATGGTTGTCAGCTTCAGGCTAATAAGGTTTACAGTTAAGAAAAAAATAACTGCTCCATAATGAAATAAGTGACATGATACTAGAAAGTGCACTAAAACATAGGATGGGCCCAGTCAACCCCGATGTGGAAGGCATGGAATGCTTCTGTCTTTATAACTCAAGATAATTAATATGTAATTATTATATATTATCTACATATATGGAAATTACATATCACTCAAAATGGAGGTAAAACTGCTGCCCAGTAACCCCCAGCCTGACTTCAGCAGTGGCTGCCGCCAGCAGGGGGAGGAGGAAGAAGATCCAAAGGAACTAGAGCAGTTGAGAAAACTGTTTATTGGTGGTCTGAGCTTTGAAACTACAGATGATGGTTTCAGAGGACATTTTGAGACATGGCACACTCACAGATTTTGTGGTGATGAGAGACCCCAGGGGTTTGGGTTTTGTGAATCGCTCTTGTGTTAGGAGGAGGCAACAGCAATTTGTGCTTGACAACAAAAGGTTGATGGGTGTGAAGAGGAACCAAAGAGAGGTATTTCTAGAGAGGATTCTGTCCATCTAACGATGAAGAAAGTGTTCACTGGTGGCATGACAGAAGATAGACAAGAGTATAACCTGAGAAACTTCTTTGAAAAGTATGGCAAGATTGAAACCATAGAAGTTATGGAGGACAGGCAGAGTGGAAAAAAGGGAGGGTTGCCTTTATAACTTTTATAAAAAATATTTATTTTGAGAGAGAAAGAGTGCATGCATGTGCACAAGCAGGAGAGGGGCAGAGAGAGAGAGGGAGAGAGAGAATCCCAAGCAGGCTCTGCACTATCAGCACAGAACTGTGAGATCACGACCTGCCTGAACCAATATCAAGAGTTGGACCCTTAGTCGACTGAGCCACTCAGTGCGCCCCTGCTTTTGTAACTTTTGATGATCATGATAAGGTTGATAAAATTGTTGTTCAGAAATACCATACTACTAATGGGCATAATTGTGAAGTGGAAAAGGCCGTTTCTCAACAAGAAATGCAGTCTGCTAGATCACAAAGAGGTCATGGAGTTGGATCTGGCAACTTTATGGGTCGTGGAGGAAACTTTAGAGGTGGCGGTAGCTTTGGCCATGGTGGAAACTTTGGTGGAAGAGAAGGCTATGGTGGTGGAGACAATGGCAGCAGAGGTAGTTTTGGAGGAGGTGATGGTGGATAAAGTGTATTTGGAGGTGATGGTGGCAACTATGGGGGTAGTCCTGCTTGCAATAGTAGAGGAGGCTATGGTGGTGGTGGACCAGGATATGGAAACCAAGGAGGCAGATTTGGCTTTGGTGGTGGAGGATATAATGCTTACCATGAAGGAGGAAATGTTGGAGGCAACTATGGTGGTGGTGGGAACCATAATGATTTTGGAAATTATAGAGGACAATAGCAATCAAATTATAGACTCATGAAGGGGGCAGTTTTGGTGGAAGAAACGTGGGCTTGTCCCTACAGTAATGGTTATGGATCTGGTGGTGGAAGTGGTGGATATGGTGGTACAAGCTGCTAAAATAATTCAGAAGGAAAAGCTACAGTTCTTAGCAGGAGAGAGAGCGAGGAGTTGTCAGGAAAGCTGCAGGTTACTTTGAGGCAGTCATCCCAAATACTTGAGAGGAACTGTAAAAATCTGCCAGAGAGGAGTGATGATCCATAGTCAGAAAAGTTATTTCAGCTTAAGCAGGAAACCCTTTTTGTTCACGTCTGTCATAGCCACAGTTTGCAAACAGTGCAGTTATTGACTAATGCAACGTGGTGTTAAATTGATGTATGTTCCTGAGGTCTTTTATCTGTTGTGGCTTTGTCTTTGTCTTTGTCTTTCATTACATCAGGTATATTGCCTAGTAAATTGTGGTAGTGGTACCAGGAACAAAAAATTCAGGAATTTTTAACTTTGCAATATTTGCATAGTTCAGTTTTTCTACATTTTACTACAGAAACTTTAACACAATGCAGTTTTGAATGTGTTTCCTTGTGAGTTAACAAGTAAAGAAGATCATTGTTAATTACTAGTTTGTATGAATTTTGTTAAAGTTAACTGTAAAGAAACACCTCCTGACTTGCAGTTTTAAGGGGAGTCTATTTTCTGCATTTAAACCATGAGATGAATGCACTCGGACATATGGAGTGAACAGATATTTGTATGTTTGCAATGTGTGTTTTAGATAAATAGAATTGGGTATTTAAGTTAGCATATTTGTGAATGTAACAGCATTAATATTTACCTTCAAATGAAGCAAATCTCAAAATTCCAAAAACTGCAGGTTGATAGATCTATCTATCTATCTATCTATCTATCTATCTATCTATCTATCTTCTATCATCTATCATGTTTCTATCATCTATCTATCACAAAGCATGGCTGATATTTAATAAGTGTATACTGGTTTGTCTCTGTTTTGAGTAGTGAGTTTCTGATTAGAATGCTTGGTGCTGTACTAGTTATTAATTATTTTGAACATCAACCCGGCTATAACCCATATCTTGTAGGTATATAAACTCTATAATTACTTGTCTTCTATAAAGCCACCATAAGTTTTTCATTTGTAGTTATAGAATAAATTTCTATGAAGTCACAAAAATTTAAAGGGTGAGAACATCATAAATTAAAAATGTTATTTGAAGGGAGAAACCTTTTTAATTTTCTTTGAATAGGCTTTCAAAAAACCTTTAATTTAATTTTCTTTGAATAGGCTTTCACAAAATGTTGAGAATTTGTAAACATTTTGGGTAACGACTTTAAATATCTGTTTTTATAAGACACTTTCTGTGAGCCTATTTTTGGTTCTTCTTTTACACATCTAATAATCAAAAAAAGCAGAAAAACACAAATTTATATTTTTCTTCTTAGGGACACAAAGGTCTTGAAGGCCCTAAAGGTGAAGTTGGAGCACCTGGTTCCAAGGTAACTGTACAGTAGCTTAATCTAATCCCACAATTGCTTTTCAGGGTTGCGTCAGGTCCCTACCAGTTTTTTCAGAACCACCTTAAATTCTGGAGGAAAGAGGTGTATAGAAAAGGGATAGTTGAGTAGATAAATATAATTTTTCATAGATGAGTGGCAATAGGTTTAGCAGGGTACGTGACATGGATTAAATTTGCCCCTAAGAGTAGCCACCATGGCACTGGGTTTATACCAGTGTAGGATGGGTGTAGATGGGTGGATGAAGATGGTACTGCGAATTCACTCTTTTTTTTCTCCTTCAAAAATATCTGAGAGGTTTAGGTAGTTTATTAGCTCAATTAAAAAAATTTTTTTTTTTTTTACGTTTATTTATTTTTGAGACAGAGAGAGACACAGCATGAACGGGGGAGGGGCAGAGAGAGAGGGAGACACAGAATCGGAAGCAGGCTCCAGGCTCTGAGCCATCAGCCCAGAGCCCGACGCAGGGCTCGAACTCACGGACCGCGAGATTGTGACCTGAGCTGAAGTCGGATGCTCAACCGACTGAGCCACCCAGGCGCCCCGATTTGCTCAATTTTTAAAGTACCCTTTCGATTCCAGGGCCTTCTAGCCATTGTTGTTTCTTCCCAAGATGTGTTTATGTTGAGAGAGAGAGAAAGACCATAGAAGAAGTACAGAGGACTTTTTAGTGGGAAGCATCATGTGAAATATATATAAATGTGAGATATATGTACATACATATATGTATGTGTGTGTGTGTGTTGGCTTTAAATTTTTAATTTTTGAACTTGCTATAATAGATCTTAAAGGAATATTAATCAATTTTAACTTTATATAAAGTTTTACTTGAGCTTAAGTATCATCAGACATAAACATATAATTACTTTGTTGATACTAATTAATGTGGGCGAATGTGATAGTTCCATCAATCTTGTTTATATCCTCAATTTATTTTATACTTATTTCCATAGAAACTAAATTGCCATCGCTCTTTGAGAAAAAGTAATACAGCAGAATTTTGAGGTCCGTCATTTCAAGTATGCCTTTCAAATAGCCAGTTTGAAAATATACTTTTAAAATGACATACACGGAGAAAAAGTGATGTGAATATCAATTGTAGGTTTCTTATACTGTACTATAATCTCATTTTTGCTTTAGGGTGAAGCTGGCCCTACTGGTCCAATGGGTGCCATGGGTCCTATGGTATGTATCAATTTAATACTTTGAGCATTTTTTGCTTTTTAGACTATATTAAGTGAATGTTTAAATGCAAAATAAAAAAACACATGGAGGAAATATGATAGCTGATGAAGTAATCTTGATTACCAGCTGGCAGACCAGCACACTCAGAGAATTGCACCCTTTGAATAGAAAAAGTTTCTTGTTTCTTAGTGTTTAAATCAGGATTATTATAGACTTAGCCCATTGAAGCTATATAAATTGAAATCTGTTTAGGTAAGAGGTGGTAGGTTATGTATCCCCACAGGTAGAGAGTTTCAAACCTGAAGTTGCTCCTTGTTTGGTCATATTGTTTGGTAGCTAATAATATTGAGTCTCGATTGAGTTGAGTGATGTAGTCAAACTACCTTAGAATTCAAATAAGATGCTTTAAGAGATGTTTTTTTTTCCCCTCTCTCATCTGTAGGGTCCAAGGGGAATGCCAGGAGAAAGAGGGAGGCTTGGGCCACAGGGTGCTCCTGTAAGTATGTATATTTCAACTCTCTCAAATGAACTGAACATTTCTTTTAAATGAGACTATGGTACTGGTTGCCTACATTTAAATTTATTTTTTTATCTTTATTTTTCATTTTGAAATAAATTTAGGTTTACAGAAAAGTTGCAAAGATACTATGGAGAGTTTCTGTGTATGCTTCACCTACCTTTTGTTAATGTTAACATCTTATATAACCACAGTATATTTGTTGCTTACTTACCTGAATGCTGAAGTTAAGAAAACTATAAAAACCTACAGCAACATGGAATATAGTCCATGGGAAAATATGAAATTGGGAATAGTAGTAAAATTATAATAATAGGTTACATTTTTCAAGCAGGTTTTATATGCCAAGCATTCTTCCATTATCTTTATTTTATATCCATCACAATCCTGAAAGGTAAGTACTGAGTGTACCCTTACAAGAGCTGAGTTTCTTTATCATCTGTCTTTGATTTATTTTATTATTAAAAAAAATTTACATTTATTTATTTTTGAGAGACAGAGTGAGACAGTGCATGAGTAGGGGAGGACCAGGGAGAGAGGGAGACACAGAATCTGAAGCAGGCTCCAGGCTCTGAGCTGTCAGCACAGAGTCCAACGCGGGGCTCGAACCCACGAACAGTGAGATCATGACCTGAGTTGAAGTCGGAAGCTCAACCAACTACGCCATGCAGGCACCCTTGTCTTTGATTTATTTTAAATGCATAGATTGAGAAATACTTTTACTGTCTGCCTATGTACCTTGAACCTAGCTAGAAAGGGGGAATATTCTATTAATTCTCTTCATAGATCTCTGAAGGTTAGGCAGCTAATATTTCAACCATGCAATTCATTATATTTTACCTGTTTTCATTTGGACAGTTAAGGACTGCCACCTTGCCTCTATTATTTTTACATTTATCATCCCCATTAGTATCAGGAATCTCACTCAGGTTTACAGCATCCCCTGATGTTACCCTTAGCCTACAGAAGAAAACCACTTTAGAGTTTCTCAATGGTGTCAAAGTCAGGGCCCTGGTTTGGGAGAAGTGAGACCTTCTCACTAGGCCCATCCTTGTCCCCTTGAAGATAGACTGTCCTCTGGAAACATAGAAAATATTGTAGAATATAGTCAACTGTTGATGTATCCATCCTTACATAATATATCTGATCTAGTATGTTCACTTCTCTGTGCTTTCTTCTGCTGTCTGCCAAGACAGTTCTGGCATTTCTACCTCACTTAGTGTGGGGCATTGCTCTTTCTGAGTTTCCAAGAACCATCTTCCATGTTAATACCATCTTTCAGGATATTTATGAGAGTGTTAAATGTGTATCATGGGAGAGTATTTCCATATCATCAAAGTTCTCCACTTTATATCCTTTCCCTCACGATCCAGTACCTTCAGGACCTACTCCCACACATTCTCTTTTGGATTCTGGCTCTACATGATGTATAGGACTCAAAGCTCCTTTGGGGTGTATTTTCCCTCTTTTATCAGAAGAAGATTTTCCTCAACTCAGTTATTTTGTGACTTGATGCTAGTTACTGGTCTGGTGGCCAACGAGCAGGGGCAAGTGGTGTTGGTGGTGATAGCATATGTTGTCCGATAAAGTAGAGGCTTCTGCAACATCTTTAAGGAAGGGAGAAGTATAAGCTGTTAAAGGTGGGAATGGTGAGAATTTCTACAGGCCCATAGGCTTCAGGGTTGAGATTTCAAAGTTCTTAAGATATCCCAATGTCAAATTACATTCCTTCTAATCAAAGCCCCTGACCATGGCATAACAGCCTTTCCATGTTTTAGAATTCAACCTTCTCAAGAACTCTTGAACCTTTATCAAGCCCTGGGCCCAACCTTCAGGATTTTCTTCCCTCAGACTGTAGAAGATCACAAGATTTTAAAATGCTTCCAAGGAATCTTATATTGATGATTAATCACGATTAGCCTTTCAAAGTCTTTCTCCAGTGTATTCATTCAACAAGTTCATGCAATTCCATCAACTTTATAATTGCTATTTCTTCTAAACCTTTTCAAGTTCCTGAGCTATTGTACCCATAGCCCTTTCTCTTACACTTGTGCCCTCTCTTAGTTTACCATTGGAGGCAATATTTATTGCTGCATTACCACCAGACGTCAAGAGTGAATCAGACTTCATTGATCACCAGCTGGTCAGTGAGGAATCCAGCTTTAAAATTCCATTTTAGAGTCTGCTTTTTTGTACTACTTCTGGTACCAATGGTATTGGTCTCAGTTCAGGTTTCCCAGGAAACAGCATCAAAGCAAAGACTGGTGTGCAGGAAATTTATTGGGGAGTGCTCTCAGAAACTACATTGGTGAAGAAATGAATAAAAAACAGGCTTTGTTGCATGGAGAATATAAACTGTACTATAATTACAACAAAGACCCCAGTCTCCATGAGTCTTCTGTTCCATGAGAACTATGGGACCGGGATGGCTTTTCAGACTTGTCTTGAATGAGGGCCAATCCTTTGTACTGCTTCATTGACCTTGGAAGAGGCATAATTTTGGGAATGCTACCTTAGCTGAGGGCAGTTTGTGGGAGGGTCTTAACTCCTCTGAGTTAATCTGCTTATTAAAAAGACTGTGGTGTACAAAATTTCATTGTCTTTGAGCTCATTTGATGGAAAGTCATACATTCAAGTAAGAAGAATAATTTTAATCAGTTTCATTTTTTAAGTCATGATTGTTCTTTGTTATTGTTATAAGGGTAGATGTGTTTATTCCTACCTTATTGTTGTACAAAAATGTATTTTAATTGCTTTTGACCTAGTTAAGGTTGTTGTTGGTTAACTTTAAATATTTATTCTTCAGTTTTTAACATGGGAATTTTCATAAAACAAATTAATTATGAGCAAATACTGTAGAAAATATAATTTTATCTTGTCCCTTTTTCTCCTAATTAGGGACAACGAGGTACACATGGTATGCCTGGAAAACCTGGGCCAATGGTGAGTTGTATGACTTTCATATTTGTTCATTTATTTATTGTTCCATTTGTACATTCATTAAAATTTACAGAGCACCCACTGTATCTCAGACACTTGGAATAAAAAGATGATAAACACACAGAATTTATCTTTGGGAACTGCCTTGTCTATCAAGGAAGAGAGATATATCGATTAATAATGTATCATAATGCTGTTGCTAACTGCTATGCTATAGAGTGCAACATGGTATAGAGTACCTGCACCTACGTTTATAGTGAGATAAATATATCAAGGAAGACTTTAAAAGGAGTAACTTTCAAGCTAAGATTTGAAAGATGAGTATATAAAATGAACAGGAATATAGCATGGTTTATAGGATGGGTAGACGAAAAAAACATGATGAGTTCAGGGGAATACTAGGAGGGTAAATCAGATTTGAATTATTTGCCCTTAGGATATTTTCTCCTTTGTTATTCATAAAAAGGAAACAAAAGAAGGGAGGAAAAGAATAACTATAGTTTAAAAGAGATTTTGTTACTGAAAAACTGATGGAATTAAAACAAATCCTCCGGGGCGCCTGGGTGGCGCAGTCGGTTAAGCCTCCGACTTCAGCCAGGTCACGATCTCGCGGTCCGTGAGTTCGAGCCCCGCGTCGGGCTCTGGGCTGATGGCTCGGAGCCTGGAGCCTGTTTCCGATTCTGTGTCTCCCTCTCTCTCTGCCCCTCGCCCGTTCATGCTCTGTCTCTCTCTGTCCCAAAAATAAATAAACATTGAAAACAAATCCTCAGAGAAGAATCAGGATGACCTAGAATGGAATTCCTCTTATACTCATTTCCTTTAAATGTGACCTTTAAGTCAATGGCTTAAACTCTATGCATGTCTTCCCAAATGTAGGATGGTGACAAATATCCACATATTAGCCCTTCAAAAATCACTTTGAAATATCCTAATGATTCTTAAGCATCATTTTTTTAAAGAGACCTAGATTATGGTATAAAACATAACTTTCTCAAAACTGTATTACTTCGTGAATACAAAGAAAGCACATCTCTCAAGAAGCAGTTGTTTCAAACAATTTGTGTTTTGATGGACTTACTCTCTTATATAGTAGAACTAAGAAATTCTATTGTGTTTAATACCACTGGACAAGTTTTTTAGCACTATTTCATATCAATGTTGGAAGATACTATAATAAAATTACATTATCTTTGTGATGGTAAAGTACTAAGTGGATTATTCTCATGTGTCAAAATACAGAATGTTGTCAAAGAATAAAAGATGACTTAATTAGATATTAATTTAAAAATCTGATCACTTTTCTGGTTTCATTTAATAGGGTCCTCTTGGGATCCCTGGATCTTCCGGTTTTCCAGGAAATCCTGGAATGAAGGTAAAATGTTCATATATTTAGCTCTTGATTATAAGAATTACTTGATGATATGAGAATGTCATTAATTGTATGGAAGTCACTCTTAACTAAGGAAAAAACCTAGAGCATTCTCAGTGTGTATCATGGTAGGAAAAGAAATAAATTTAAAAATGAGATTACTATGCAATATGTAGTTAAAGGAGAATTACTGCTAATCATACAATTGTAATATCAAAGAATCCGCTGCATTAGAACTCTAAACTAGACAATTGTAACAGCTGCAAAGAGTAAGAGATTAATCTGAATTGGAACTCTGCTCTTGGATACAGTGCCTGGCAGTAATAAATAGCAGAATGTTCTAAACAATAGGAGGTTAAAATAAATCAAAGGTTGTCAAAAGGCTGTTCTTTCACACAATGCTGGCTTTCATTCCAACCCAGGCCCCCTACCATTTACACAACCATGAAAGGAATAGGCAGGGAGGCTATTTGGCTTTCCACAGGGGACTGGATTAAAGCATTCTGCTGGGATGATTTACATCTGTAGTGAGTCACAATGTGTTCTTTCAGTATTTTGGGTGATAAATTCAAGGATTACAGTAAGAGGTTATTAAGATTATATTAGCTAAATTAGTGAATACATTCAGAACACTGTTTTCACACTTTAAACAACACAGTACATTGGATTACCCCTCACGCCCAGTTTCCCTTGGCCATAATTTTCTTCATCTCAAAGAAGGGATTTACTCACAAGATTCTGCTGTACAAAAATGATTGTGGCCATGGCAGTCACTTTCCTTCTGTAAGTCTTGTTTTCTCATGGGATTTTGTTGAAGATTACATGAGAGAGCAATGCAAACTCTAATACTGCCTGATGCAGAGGATGCCCTCAATATAGGTCCTTGCTTCTTGTTGGTAGTGCTACACAAATGGGCTTTGAACTGTGAAACAAAAACAACAAAAAGTCCATAGCTAACATTTCAAATACTCTCAAATGTGAGAGTCATCGGGTTAAATTATTCTTCGGGCTCTCTCTAACACTGTCTTTAAACTCTGTGCCACAGGAATGCTGCTACTTTAAAATGATGCTGTCCCTAAGTCGTTTCATCAACCAGTCCCTTGTTTCACTGAGAGCTCACTGTGCACTCAAGCAGATAAGACTTTGTTGAGATCCCTCTGTTTCTTTTTTTTTTTTTTTTTTTTAATTTTTTTTCAACGTTTATTTATTTTTGGGACAGAGAGAGACAGAGCATGAACGGGCGAGGGGCAGAGAGAGAGGGAGACACAGAATCGGAAACAGGCTCCAGGCTCTGAGCCATCAGCCCAGAGCCCGACGCGGGGCTCGAACTCACGGACCGTGAGATCGTGACCTGGTTGAAGTCGGACGCTTAACCGACTGCGCCACCCAGGCGCCCCGAGATCCCTCTGTTTCTGATCTCCCTGAAGTGCTAATCCTACCACCACTGACTCTGGCCATGGAGGGCCCAACCTCCCATGTTCCCATCAAAATATACAAAACTCCTTCTCTCCTTCCTGTGAGACCCTCTACCCTCAAACTGAGCTTTGGCCAGAGAATTAAGGAAAGAATACTCACAATGCCTAGGACTAAGACTTGGCAGAAAGTAGTTTCTGCTCCTACTATGGCATCTAGTGAAGACCTCATTAGCAATGGCAATTTATATAACAGCTCACTCTGCATAATTCCTTCTCCTCCTGGGTTTTTCTAGTACTGGCTTTTGGCTACTAAAGACTGTTTAATAAAGTGAAACGCTTAGCAAAGCTGGTTTTCTCAGAAATTGTTTGCCTATCCTACCATCCTCCCCTGCCAAGCATAAAGTTTCCAGATCTTCATTTTTGGCCATGATTCTGCTATACCTATAAAGTATTTCCATGGTCTCTGTTTCCCTGGATGAAAAATAAACTTCCATGTCCAGTTCTTCGAATTTCAGAGAGTCAGTAGGGATTTTATATATTTATTAGCACTAATGAACCTCCTCAGGCTTAGAATTTTAGTTCTGAAATTCTAGGTCCAGGTTTCTCTAGGATTAGATCTACATTGGGACCTAATATGTTGGATAAAATACAGAAACCCACTTAGGTTTAAACTTCAGATAAGTAAAGAATAAATTTTTCGTATAGATATGTTCCAAATATTGCCTGGGACAAACTTACACTTAAATTATTTGTTATTTATCTGAATTAAAACTTAACGAGGCATCTGTATTTTTATTTACTATCTGGACTTCTTTCATGGGTTGAAATAAGGGTAGATATCAGGTTACCTTGACCACTTTACTCTGCTGTTAATACTGAAGATATTATCATACTTGGGTTGGAAAATGAGTCTACTCCTTAAGCTAGGTTAGACACACAACCCTTATAAACTGATTAGTGCTCATCACCCTTTAAAAATACTTGAGTATAGCATGTAGGGCTCCAAATAAGCAATAAACTTTGAATGACACCACATTTATATTTTTCTTATAACATTTCTTTTTGTACCCATTTAGGGAGAAGCGGGTCCCACTGGGGCAAGAGGCCCTGAAGGTCCCCAGGGACAAAGAGGTGAAACTGGGCCACCAGGTCCAGTGGGCTCTCAAGGTCTTCCCGTAAGTTCCCAGTACATTTAAGAATTGTGTTCTTGACAGAAAGTTTGACATCTTTTATAACGTCAGAACAGTTTTAATATATCCTCTTTGAATTCTGAATGAGTGTTTCCAACTGATTAAAGAAACCTATTTCTCTTGTCAACTCTGCAAAATTTTATCTATTTTATGGAAGAGGGAATTAGTCATAAAGCGAGTTTTATGATATAATGGTGGTTGATTTTTTTAATGTTTATTTTTGAAAGAGAGAGAGAGAGAGTGTGTGTGTGTGTGTGAGTTAGAGAGGGGCAGAGAGAGACCGAGACAAAATCTGAAGCAGACTCCAGGCTTAGAGCTGTCTGTCAGCACAGAGCCTGGCATGGTGCTCGAACTCAGGTTCCCCATGGTGGTTGTTTTTACAATAATTTTTCTGCCTCCTTTTGGAATGTGGGTGGACATCTGGATAGCATCCTAGATATGGCTTAATATTTTGTAAACTTTTCATGGATCTTTTAGGGTGCAGTAGGAACTGATGGTACACCTGGTGCCAAAGGCCCAACGGTGAGTAACTAACTGCATCAATGCCACGTGAAGTTCAAATGGATGCAATCCTTTGGACATTGACAGTAGACTTCTACTGGGTTCTCTGCTCATCATGTCACTCTTCTACTCTGACAGGGCTCTCCAGGTACCTCTGGTCCTCCTGGCTTAGCAGGGCCCCCTGGATCTCCAGGACCTCAGGGTAGCACAGGACCTCCAGGAATTCGAGGCCAACCGGTAATGTCCTTTCAAATAACTATCATCCATTAGTATAATCCAACTAAGATCACCACGCAAAATAATATTCAGTGAGAGCCAATGAAACATGGATAATGGGACATATCTGAGTGAGGCAAGTGAAGATAGGAATCTTTGTAAAGTGGAAGCCACATGTTAATGTACAATTTAGGTGTTTAAATTCAAAAGGGAACATTATTACATTGTGTTAAATTTTAGTGGTTTTTTAAAATTTAAAATAATAAGGTCATAACTTTATAGTCTATCTCATAGATATTTATGAGTGGTTGAATAGTACACATTATAGAAATATTTTCCAAGCCAGTGTGAAGAAATGTGGAGGTTATAATGACAATTTGGTTAAAAATGGGTTCACCAGCTATTTCTTGAGAGTTATCTTGAAGAGTGGTTCCACCATATTATTCACATTGAATGAAATTTCCGTATTTTGTGAAATTATTTATTAGAAAAAATGTTATGCTAAACCCATAAGAAATAAACACATTGAGAAGTTGTGCTTATATATTTTTAGCTTCTGTATAAAAATTAAAACTTTCTTTCTTAGCACTACCTAAAACAAATATTTTAGATTCTGTTCCAAGTAACTTAGTTATGCTAATAAATCCCTTTAAATCCTGGTGGCAGATTTATTAAAACATGAGTGTTGCTGATATTTCACATTTGATTTTATCATGTTCTCTTAGCCACCTGGTTCCCAGAGGTTTAACTGGTATTTAAAGACACATACACACCAAAACCCTAGAACACTCCGAAGATGAAATGCTGAATTTGAACTTGTCAAACTCTCAATAAATAGAACATAAATATAAAGTTATTTTGATTCTGGGTAAATAACTCTATTTCCTAAAATATACCCTAAATAGATTTATCTGTAAAAGTTGTCACTGTTAGTTCTAATTTTAATTATCAAATTGGAATAACTGAATAATTCTAATTTTCCTAGTATGCATGATAAAACACACAAGATTTTAAAAATAAGTCCTTTGAAGACCACTGTAAAATAGACAGACTTCTATAAACTACTTATACTGGGTTTTATAAAATTTCACATACATTCTACAAGATTTGCAAAATTAGAAAAAATGTTAATACAGACTCAGCTGCAGAAAGTTTTTAGGGCCTGTTAACTGTAATTAATTAAAGCAAGTTGGACTGGCTAAAAGTCCTGGGTTTTATAACTATTGATACTTTTATTTTAGGGTGATCCAGGAGTTCCAGGTTTCAAAGGAGAAGCTGGCCCTAAAGGGGAACCAGTAAGTCTTTGTTTTTTTTGTTTGTTTGTTTGTTTGTTTCAATGATAAGAAGACCATGAATATTGTCCAGCAGTGCACAGGTCAAAATGCTCAAGTGTTTAAAATAATATCAATGAGAAATATAACTTTGAGTGGCAATACTTTAGTTTAAAACTTGTAACTGACTTCATTACTTTGGATGGAAATAGTTTAATATAGTTTAAAATTTGTAATTGACTTATTTAAATGAAGCTTTTGACTATAATTCAGTTGTCAAATGGCTGTTGCTGGTAACTGTCCTTCTGTTTTTAATAGGGGCCACATGGTATTCAGGGTCCAATAGGTCCACCTGGTGAAGAAGGCAAAAGAGGTCCCCGAGGTGATCCAGGAACAGTTGGTCCTCCAGGCCCAATGGGAGAAAGGGTAAAATTTGAATAATAAGATAAATTCTTAGAGTTGTGTGTGTGTGGGGGGGGCGGATTATGTGGGGAGCTTTGGGGATAATAAGGAAAGCTAGAGTCATTGAAAGAATTGCTTGCAAATGCATTGCACAGTTAAGTATGGTTAACTGTGTATTAAAGGAACCAACTGTCTAATAATTATTGCCCATTCATTCATTCATTCAGCCAACACTGACACTGTGCCAATTCGATATATTGGTACTTAGGATACATCAGTGAACAAGAAGGCTATGGTCCCAGCCTTCATGTGGGGGCTAGTAAGCAACAGTTTATTCCAGTGGGGAGGTAAGCAATAAACAAGTCAACAGGCAAACAAAAATATAATTATACATTTTAATGAGCTCCATATACACTTAAGAAATTACAGGGTGATGTGGTAGAGAGTAGCTTTGAGTATGTGATAGTAGTGTGACATTAAATTAGGTGGTTAAGAAGTGGATTCTTTGGGAAGATGGCATTTTAGCTGATACCTGAAGATGAGGACAAACCAGCAAGAGACCTTGGGAGTAAGAACACTGTCAGCAGAGGAAACGGCTAGTGCAAAGCCAGCAAGGGCTTGGTGATTTTAGAGATTAGAAGAGGTTGCTGTGACTGGAGTATAATGAAACAGGTCTGTAGGGGACAATGATAATATCACCTTACATTTGTAGAGACGTTCAAAGAATGCACAGTACTTCACATACAAGACAATACTAATGTATGTCATCACTGACGTTTTGATCATGGTAGATGGTGCCATTTCTTTGCTGCTTATCTAGATACCATTTTGCTCTATGTTTATTTTACAATTAATTGTTAGGATAGTTCTTAATTTGAATAATTTTTGGCTTGATACTTACATATTCTCAAAAATTTAAAATTTTTAAATATTTCTATGTAGTTAGGGTTTTGTCCCTTACACTTTATCTTTTGCCATGTTGGCTTGATCACAACTCCTAAAACCTTGTAATGCCAAAAATAAAAATTACCCACTCATTATACATTACAAAAACATCAACAACAATTAAGAATCTCATTTTGGTCATTTGTAGGGTGCTCCTGGCAATCGTGGTTTTCCAGGCTCTGATGGTTTACCTGGACCAAAGGTGAGGTTATCCCATCCATGTTGACATTAATGTGGGTGGTGCCCCAAAAGATGCCGTTGTCCAGAATGGTGATCTAGCTTTGGTCCACATGGCTTCAGATCCAGAAAAGAGTCAGACACAGATGTCAAGCCTAATGCCAAATCCCTCTTGTGCAATTTATGTATTATAGACGGCTAGGGGAGAAGGATAATGGTTGCAAGTATGTAGGAGTTTGTTTTCAGACTTCCTGGAGACCCAGTGGAGAAGAAAAGGTCACAGACCTTTCCTTTATCTAGAAATTTAGACTCTAGAATTTTGGTGTTCCCCCTCACCCAAATCTAGATTATTGCAGTGATAATCTAAATACAATTTTTATTAATAATGAAAAACCATTATTCTACAAGAACTAGGAGTTAGAACAAAATATGTAGTGATAGTTTTTGTAACTTTGTAATCACTTTGACAAAGTATTTGTATGTTATTCTAGTGCTTTGACTTGTAACAGGCAATTTTGATATTCACTTGCTTTTATCTTCCTGCACTGTTTCTTTTTTCTGACACATTCTGCTTTGCATTGGAACAGGGGGCTCAAGGAGAGAGGGGTCCTGTAGGTTCTTCAGGACCTAAAGGAGGGCAGGGGGACCCAGGACGTCCAGGTGAACCTGGCCTTCCAGGTGCTCGGGTAAGAACACAGCAGTTTGCTACATCGACCCAGAACAGCTTGTCGGTACTCAGTGAAGTGTTTTTTAATTAAGCTAGTTTTGACAAGTTGGATCATTTCTTTTGTTTTTACGATTTTGACCTGATTTACTATTTTTAAAAAAACTGCTTTGTTATTTTCATGACATATAGAAAAACATGGTAATTTCTAGTCTCCCTTTCTCAAAGGAGTATGCATTAATAGTTTTGCCACTTGACATGGAAAAAAAAATCCTGTTTGCCAGTTTTTATTTTTCTTTACTTGCTAACAAAAACCTGTTTGGCTTTTGGCAGAGAGAATTCCTGATAAATTTCATCCTGAACAAATGTTACTTGAAAATTCATTTGAAGTGTGTAATTGCTGTTACATTCAGTTGTCCACAATGCTCCTTAAAAACAAAGGAATTATACAAAAAGTTGTTGGATGGAAATATACATTTGGCTCCACATAATCTTGAACCCAATACTTTTATTTATTTATGTATGTATTTATTAACATTTATTCATTTTTTGAGAGACAGAGAGAGACAGTGTGAGCAGGGGAGGGGCAAAGAGAGAGGGAGACACAGAATCCGAAGCAGGTTCCAGGCTCTGAGCTGTCAGCACAGAGCCTGATGCAAGGCTCGAACTCACAAACTGAGATTATGATCTGAGCCAAAGTCAGACCCTTAACTGTCTGAGCCACCCAGGTGCCCCGTACCCAGTGTTTTAAAATATATGAATAAAAGTCTACTACAGCCCTTTCTCCTTCTATGTAGGAAACTGGAACTTTCTTAGAACTTCTTCCCTAGATACCTAATAAAGTTGGAATGCCAGGTGAATGAGCAGTCAGCATTGCTTATAGTAAAAATGATGCCCGACTGTAGACCACATCTGGACCTGGGAGGACTATAAATTATAAAAACCTTATAGGGGAGCATGGCTTTGGGCATCCTGAGTTTGGAGAAACTGGTACCTGCACATTCACCTTGCCAGGATCAGTATACTGTGTTCGAGGTGCTGTTACAAATACTGGTTACCTGAGATTTCTAAGCCAAAGTGGCTCCTGTCCCCGCCATGTAGACTCATTTCCTGACATCTGGCCTGTCCATTGTAGAAGGCTTAGATGATGCCCTTGGAGGCCATGCTGTGAGGGATGCCCCCCAGTGGAGAGTCCCACGTGATGCTGCCTGTTGGCATGCTGTGTTTTCTGCCCTGTATCCTTCCAAAACCAGGCTGGGGGAGGCCCATGATTAGCCTGTGAAGTTTGTCTAGAGGAGCCTAAGGCTGCTGAGAACGGGCATTGCGTAGTGGAACTGGATCCTTTTAATGAAGTGCTATTTTTACTCTCTAGAATCTTTTTTTAAAAAGCTTATTTATTTATTTTGAGAGAGAGAGAGATAGAGTGAGCAGGGGAGGGGCAGAGAGAAAGAGGGAGAGAGCAAATCCCAAGCAGGCTCCACACTGTCAGCGCAGAGCTTGACATGGGGCTCAAGCTCACAAACTCTGAGATCATGACCTGAGCCGAAATCGAGAGATGGATGTTTAATGGACTGAGCCACCCAGGTGCCCCTACTCTCTAGAATCTTTACCTCAGTTGCAGGTCAGCAACAAAATGACAATCACTTTTAATTTTCAGGGTCTGACAGGAAATCCTGGCGTTCAAGGTCCTGAAGGAAAGCTTGGGCCTTTGGTAAGTGACGTAAACAGAAATCCATAGCCATGATAGACATATAACATAAGATGTTTATTTGAGGTTAATGTTTTTAATCATGTGAGTGCTGATCATATTTACATGTTTAAAATGCCGAAGCAAATTCATAGGATCTTCATATTTTAAAATTCACTAAAAATTAATCAAGTTTAATTGATATAAATGTTTGAGATTGAAGTTGCTTCTCTAACATCTGGGGAAAAAGTCGAAATTATGTATTCTTCCAGTATTGGTGAAATTTGTCTACTGGAAACATTCTCATTTCATAAATGTCCTCCCAACTTTATAGGTTTAAGAGATAAGTAGGTATGACTTTTGGTAACTTATGTATTCTATGCCCTTCCTTTATACCAAAAAATGTGAAATGAAGTCCCAAATTTTCATTACCGCAAGCTAGAGTAAATTAAAGAGTAAAAGGACAATTTCCCCTATGAATAGAAGAGTGTAAGGAGCTGTGAAGATGAGGGTCATGTGTAGAACCAGAGTAAAATCTCTGTTCTAAATACTCAGCATCCTTCAGCACTTTTTTTTTAAAACACTCAACTGTTCTGATTCACTGAGAAAAAGATGAAGGATAATTTAAAACTTATATAACTTTCATAAGTAAGCAGAGAAAGGCAAGTGACAATTTGGGTGACCTGATATTCAGAGAGAATTTACGTAAAACTTACATTGCGCCTGTCAATTTTGTAGGGTGCTCCGGGGGAGGATGGCCGGCCAGGTCCTCCAGGCTCCATAGGAATCAGAGGGCAGCCCGGGAGTATGGGTCTTCCAGGCCCCAAAGGTAGCAGTGTGAGTACAGTGCATATGTTTGCTATCTCATCATCATCCTCACCTGAAGTAGGCATGTTATGAGCAAACTGATTGAATTTTAATGTAGTTTTCTATTCTTTCTTTTAGGGTGACCCTGGAAAACCTGGAGAAGCAGGAAATGCTGGTGTTCCTGGGCAGAGGGTAACTATACAAACATTTTCTGCCAAAAGGGAGGAAATATATATAAATATATATGAAATGACCCAAATGTCTCATGGCCTTACTTCACATATTATCTCTGTGTGATATTAGGGAGCTCCTGGAAAAGATGGTGAAGTTGGTCCTTCTGGTCCTGTGGGCCCCCCGGTATGTGATCTTTTAGCGAGAATTACATTCACATTGCACTTTTCGATGATGTTTGTTTAAGACTTTACTTATGAGTAAGCTTCAGGGGAAGTAATGAGAAAGTGCAAGATTGAAGAATTCTAATCTTTTCTTCTGACCCCTGTGCCAGCACCTTCTGCCTTTTTAAATGGAGCGATTGGACTTTTCATTTTAAACTTCTTTAAAATGCTGATGGCAGAAGCAACCTCATTGTCCTTATGTGTCACAGTTAAGGAACATATCAACTGAACAGAATCATGTTTGACAAATACTTTGTTCTGTCTCTTATTGAAAAATATAAGTACTGAACTATACTTAATTCTTCTGATAATGTCTCATATAAATTTGTCTAAGCTAGCTGATTTTTCTTTAGAGGGACTAAAAAAGAAAGTATTTTGTCCTTTGAGGTGCATCTGCATCCTAGGATTCTAAAATTAAATATTTATCAGAAATATTTTGGCATATTTATTTGTTTATGATCGGGCAATTTAAATATCTTTCTAAAATGTTAGCTTTGCTTTCTTCAGCTGCTCTAGTGTTGAAGGCTTGATTAATAGTTCTTCTAACACTGCGAACTAAATTGGAACAGAAATTAGAGCGTCCCTGTGAAAATTTTTGTAAGCCAAAATGGTGTAAAGCAAAGAAGCAATTATTAATTTATGTGAAAAATTTCTTAAGATTCCCAGAATCCCAAAATAACGTCTTTTAGGCTTTTCTGGCATATCTTAAGACATATCTGGGGCGCCTGGGTGGCGCAGTCGGTTGAGCGTCCGACTTCAGCCAGGTCACTATCTCGCGCTCCGTGGGTTCGAGCCCCGCGTCGGGCTCTGGGCTGATGGCTCAGAGCCTGGAGCCTGTTTCCGATTCTGTGTCTCCCTCTCTCTCTGCCCCTCCCCCGTTCATGCTCTGTCTCTCTCTGTCCCAAAAATAAAAAAAAAAAAAAAAAAAAAAAAA